GCGTCGTCTATCAGGGCGGTTTTGATGCGCTCCGTTGGTGTCACTGCGGTTATGGATGCGACGACGCCGGCGGCCATGCCGGCGAGGAGGTTGCGCACGGGAGAAAGATTACCGGTTTCCGGATCCGCGAAGGATGCCTTGATTTGGTCGAAGAAGAGGAAGCGGACGCCATCTTTTCCGACGGAGCCCTGGGGTTATGTTGGTCTTGGTGATAACGTATGCAGGGAGTTTGTAACCACACGCCTTGTCGTCCATATAGAAAGAAGACATAGGGTTAATTAAAACCAGCAATTGCATCATACTCGATGCATTAAGCCAATAAAAAGAAAGAAGAAGAGAAACCAAACTTACAAACACCAGCGCTCCACACCCCTTGTACAGCGCCCTTATACCCTCATTCCGATATATCTGTGTAATGACCAAAAACGGGTTCCTGGGCGTCGGCACCCCCTTCTCAGCCCTCAACTGCACTCTTGTCTTTGCGAATTCGAGCGGATACTATAAGGACGGAAGAAAAAAAAGAGCACACAATGTAAGTCACGGGGCCATTTCGGAAGTTTAAAAAAACACAGTTTTTTTGGGGGGGTTGTTATTTACCGAGAGAAAGCCTTCGACACCGCCAGCAATACCACCGGCTGCGAGCGAAACTACCGCTGGTATATTGTCGTCCTGGTTTTCGAAGCGAAACAGTTAGTCCAAGTCAACTTGCTTGAAGCGTGTTGCAGCCAATAGGGGATGAGACTTGCATTGCCGCCGGAAACCATTTGTGTTGGTTGGTTGGTTGGAGGGAGTGGTATTTTTTTGGGCGTTTTTTTCTTTCTTGTCTAATTAGATGAATCTGCGCGGGTGATGGGTTTTGCGGGTTAGGAAAGAAATGCAAGGCCAAGGGAAAGGGAAAGGGAAATCCGGGCAACCGATTGGGCCTTGCGCTTAGCCGAATCGACGGGAATTCGGATGACGCAGCGGGCAGCGGCAATACCAAAGCGATATTTCCCGACGCGCGATAATTGGATTATCGCAAGTCGTTTCTCGATTTGGGAGGTTTCCAGAAGCACCAACGCTTACCTGAATGGTTCAACGTCAAATATGTCTTCTCTTCGTTTGCAATCCTGGAATGCGACTCATACAGAGCGCTTTTTCGAGCTGGAAACTATGTAGTGCAATTACGACTAACCAAAGCCCATGCATCACTCATCCATCGCAACTAAACTACTAAACCGATTATCCCTAGCCGCAGCATATGACTCCAAGTCCTCGTCCCCATCCTTACTATCGCTCTGATCCCGCACATCACGTCGCGACCTGCCCAATCCCTTCAAAACATCCTCGACATTCCACGCGATCCTCTCTGCGCCAATTCTGGCCCCGACCAAATTCGGCGCACCAGGCCCTAGGCGCAGTCCAGCAAGTCGCCCCGTAACAAAGAGCGGTACGTCATCGTTCCACATCATGTCCTCAGTTAAACAGGGCAGGCCGCCAACGTACTTGATAGGATGCTGTTTCTGGATCGTCTGCAGGAAAGGTATGGTGCGGATATCCGACTGAATGCCAGTAGCAAACACAATGTAGTCAACTGGTGGAAGACTAACTTGCGACGACGACGTCTCGCACGACCAAGTCTTGAAACAAGGGTCCCAAGATATCGATGCGAGTGTTGTATGCGTGTGTAGAGCAATCTTACCATTAGCAATGTGCGTGTCGAGAATCCGGCGGTACCGGGGTGTCATGCTGCCGCCGTTTCGAGCAACCATGATCATTTCCCATCGTTCTAAGAAAAAAGAAAAAAAGGAGACATGTTAGCCTCACAAACTTTCACACAATGTGGTGTCGGAAGCGTACCTTCGTCTGTGTCCGCAGTCCAAAACGCAGCTTGGTTGAAGTTCCGGAATTTGCCGACCCAGTCCAGGTCCATGTCAAAGTACTTTACCTTGAGCGGTCCACGCATCAGCATCCAAACTTTATTTACACCTCGCTTGAGGGCGAGGTCGGCTAGCTGAATGCTCGTTAGGCCGCCCCCAATGATAAGCAGGCTTGTGTTTTGCCGAGCCTGGATCTTGGCGGCGACATGTGGCGCAGGGAACTGCTTGATCTGCATGGCGTGAGAGAAACCTTCGTGTGGGCGTTCACTGGGTAGGCCGGGCACAGGGGGTAGCGATGGGGCGTTCCCAGGGCCAATGGCAAGAATGACTACGTGAGCGAAGCGGACGCCTTTGTCAGTTACCATGCGGAATATCATTCGGTCGTCTTCCGAACCATCATCCGATATAACACTATCGTGTTCAGTATCCGCAAACTTTGCTATCTCTCCGTATTCGATATCGGTCACGCTTTCTTGACGGATCATATCGCTGCCAAGGCGATACCGCCGCACCACCTCGCTGCAGTGTGCATGGAACAAATCCGTCTTTGGCGTAAAGTAGTCTTTTCGATCCCTCTCGTCCACATCTGGTGTCCCACCAAGAAACCTTCCTTGCTTAAGCTTCTTCTTTTTCTTATGCTTGCTGACTTCTTTGCCCGCAATATTGGGGAGAGCCATGATGTCCTTGTCCCTTTCTTGTTCGTATGTGTATGCGAGCAGCCCGTCTCGGTCAGCGGGATCGACGTGGAAGAACATTGGGCTGCGAAGGTAGTCGATGTGGAATGTTTTAAAGAGTCGCTTCCACTTGGACATCCAGTCTGCTCCATCAGCATCGAGAACTAGCATGTCTATTGCTTCTTCTGACGATTCCTGATGCTCGCATCCACAGTCAGAATTCGATGGTGTTGAAGGCGGCGTTGGCAACGAGTCCTTGTTCTTCCGATAGTTCTTGATGTTCATCTTTCGACCGTGCTTCTTTATCCAATGGTATCTCTGATGTTCATCATCGGTAAAGGTCGCGGATGGTGTATATTCGCGGAGACGTGCTGCAGCTGCTAGACCAGCTGGGCCAGCGCCGACAATCAGAACGTCGTGGATATGCATGGTATTGCGACCTACAGGTTTCCAGCAATCCAATGATTGGAAGAAGTATTGTTGATGAAGAGGTTCTGTAGATTATTAAAGAGCTCTCCGAGCTCATGTATCGCGTGAGTACCTATGTACCGTGATGGCTAGGGCTCCCCATCAGGCACGTCCATCACGGTGCTCCAAGGACAAGCACGACGCAACGACGAAGACACGAGACCACCAAGTAACAGGCCGGGGAGATCTTTACTCCTCCAGGTGAGTATCGAATTCTTGGCTTGTTTGCGGTCCTGCTGCAATTGGGGTCAACACGAAACTTGGCAAAGAGTGTATGTAAATAAGAATAATTTTTGTTAATAAGGTCATGGCATCATTCATACAGGGTGAAATGTTTCGGGGCTCTTATTTCGGTCCTCCATGCTGCGAGAGGTCCGCCAGCTCCCTGGGCCGCTCACGCTGGACGCCCGATGTGACTGCGCGTCCTCCATCTCAATGGCGCTTGTGATGAACTCCGGGTCGCGTTCTTCTTTTTGCTTGCCCAAGCCACCATTTATATCCTCTTGGCTCTCAGTCTTCCGGAAAATGTCCCTGAACCCTCGAGGTATCTGTTGTGGCGTCGGTTCAGACCAAGACGCGTCGGGACGTCGTACCGAGGGTGGCTGTGGCTGGGTGGTGGAGCGACCATAAGCATTCGAGGAATCGTACGTGTTGGAGCTCCAGTTGCGAAGGCCAAAGACGCGTTGGATAAGTGGGTAGGTCAGTGGAAGATTTGCACAGAGAATGGCAGTGTACGACTCTCGCAAATACCAGATTGTCCACTCGTTTCCAAAAGGATGTGTGAAGGAGTAGTACTTGTTGAGGGCAGCAGCGACAATGGTAAAAGTTCCAATGCAAAAGATTAGGCCCAAGATGATCTTGTTCTTCTTTGGCAAGCGCACTTTGAACAAAAGCGGCATGGGTATGCTGNTGATGATCAAATCGCTGGAAATATTGAACACGGCATTCGTGATGAGGTGGTTCGTTGCGGCGGAGCATTGTTCTGTAATAATAAGCGCCATACAACAGAGTTGCCTGCAATATGCTTACTTGAGCTTGGAGGGACTGCCCAGTACTGGTTGAACGGCCTGCACCACACACCAAGGTACAACACCTCCATGACAACAAACGACACGCCAACATAGACGGAAGTAGCAACAACAATCTTGTGTTGCGGCAAGACCAGAGTCATACGATTGTACATGATGAGGAGGCAGGCTTTGATGAGCCAGATTGTGAGGATCTGCATCTGTTCCACTACCAAGACCAGCTTGGAGCCATAAATACGAGTGTTGATCTCGGCTTGAGTATACTGCGAGATGTCGTCACCAGGCGGTATTAGGTTGCTGCTGGTTTTGGCGACCTGGTGCATGATGCTGATGAGCACCGTATCCGTGGCCTGGTTGTAGTTCAGCATCTCTAGTTGCTCAGCTCAGGAGCGCGGTTGACAAACCATGGCAACCAGAATCAAATAGTCGTCGAGTTGCAAAGACTTCCATGATCCCAGATGCAGCCTTCGCGAAATCAAGCGGACAATGACGACGAGCCAGCATATGCCGTAGAATATTCCCGCCTCTGGCTGGAGAATGGATGGCGACATGGGGTGCGAGATGGCGTCGCCAAAGCGCCGAAGTTGTCGCGGGCGCTGCAGTCTGAGCCGGGGGAGTGCGTAGGGCTAGCCGCACGGCGCAAATCGCTCTGGGCGCTTGTCTTGGGTGGATGGGAACGAGTGGGTATGTCTGCTATGTATATACTGCAGATGTTGTAGTAAAATCAGAAACTGGGTGGCGAAAGTCGCCACGAGGTGTTGGAAACGTCAGCCGTGGGTGGTGCACCAAGGTCTAGGTCAGCAAGCTGTGCGCTATCTCTTGACCCGTATATGGACTCAGCATGCAATCAGCGCTACTCGTTGACATGGGATTCTCTGCGATGATCAGGAAATAGGGTTGAGGGTGCTCTCGGAAGTTGCCTGGGGAAGTGTCGCTCTGGGGTAGGGTATCGGAGTGGGTTTGTCGCTCTCGAAGTCTGGGGGATTGGGCGCGGTGTCCTGAGTCGAAGAGACGGACGGATGGATGCAGTTGGCAAGGGATCGCTTAGAGAAAGAAGTCCCCCCGGACCCAAAAAGCCATGTGCTAAAGCACCGAACGAGTTGCAAGGGCCAAATTCGGTAGAGATGTGTGCTTGGGATGATCTGCACGAGGGGCCCGAGTCCAAAGCGGATGTTCACCGTTGGCACCAATGGGATCGTCAGTGGCGCTTGTCCGACAGCCTCGACCCAAAACTGAGGTCTCCAACAGCAGCTGGCGGCGGGGGAGCGGTTAGCCCTAAATACAAAGTAACTGGATAGCCCACGAGGAGCAAAGTCAAATACAAAATCGAGGGTGCAATGGTGGTGGTGATGATGGTGGTGCTTCTTCGGTGGTTCATGCGGCACTGCTTCGGTGGATCCTCGAAAAGGCAATGCAGGGCCCAGTTGTGGTCAAAAGCAGTCGAGGATGCGGAAGTGTAGTATGTATGTATGGGGTGAAGCCATCCCACCCCCGTGTTTATCTGGTGGCGTGTATCCTTGACTCGGGCGGCAGACGTTGGGGGAAGCTTTGGCGACGGCGTCTAGCTGTGACGACGAGCTTCACGGTTCAGACGGCACTGCCATCTGTCGCCTGAAGACGGCCCGCGGCCGTAAGCGGAACTAGCCTGGCGCCACCAAGCTGAACAGCTTTTGTGTATGGGCTAGTGAAATCGCATGAACAGAGCGCCAGACCTCTGCTACCCCAATCACCCCCTCCAAAACACGACAGGCTCCATGCTCAACATCGCCCGCGACTCGTGTTGCCATCAGATAATAACGCAGTTCCACTTATATTGCGCCCTCCCGCTTCATTCTCTCACATGCTTCTCGCTAAACAAGTCTACTACCACATGGCATTCCTCGGATACCACTACCAGTGACATTCCCTACTATTCCTCTCCGCATCCTCGGCTCCCGCACACAATTGAAGAGAAAAAATTACCCTAGTCGATTGCATATGACTGCACTCGACTCGACTGCATTACCCTATTCACATGTCTGACGTCAGCACAGTCCCCATGCTTTCGAAATTCATCGTGTGCAACGAGAACCCTTAGGCCTCCAGTGCACCACGCTAACACCACCTCCAATCCATCATCGGTAAAGCTACCTGATTTCTATACTTATCCCGACGCTCGCCACAAGTCGGGTTTGGCCTGCGCCAGAGAGGCGACTGCCGTGATACCGGATCAATTGCCATTTGAAGGACCAACCGTAGCCCTTTGTCAGTACCTGCGCCTTGCAGTAGCGTAGCTGCGAGGGGAGATCGGTCCCAATCGTAGGCCTTCTATTCTTCCAGAAGCTGTATAAGCTTTGGTGCCTGAAACCAAATTGGAGCCATCTTGCTGCCCACGGAGAAATCGCCCACCTATCAACATCTTCGTCCTTGATGCATCTGCGAGTGCACTTGACTAACAAAAACATGGTTGGGAAATTACAAAAATTCTCTTGCTATCTATCAAACACAATGACATTGCTACGCATGGACCCAGCCCTACCCTCCGTACCCTAAGCCTTTCCAGAAGGTCTCAATCTCTTGTGACACGTCTCTCTGAACCCTATTCTCCTCCCAGACGTCTCCGCTCTGATCTAGCATGCTCGTCCACTCTCGTATCGCTTCATCCTTCCTGCTGTGCCCCGCAAAATGCACCAAATAATCGCCTCTCCTGGCCTGGAACTGCTTTAACCCCTCCTCATCCTTTCGCTCCTCAAACATTTGTGCTGCACCCCCTTCGTATGCATTAAACCAATGCTGGGGTACATATCTTGTTTGACCCCTAAACTGTTCTGTACGAAGAACCTGCTCCATGGCGGATTGCTCGGTAAATGGGAGGTCGACCTCAGGCCTGTAGTGCCGGAAAGCAAGGATAGCGGTGAAGAGTTCGATCGCCCAACGGTTTACGCGAAGGAGGAACACCCCATTGTTGAGACCGTTCCAGTCTTCGGTTACGAGTAAGTGTGTCGTATTTGCTTGGGGTTTTCGCTCCTCATTTGGTTCGTCGTCACGAACCCACCACAAACCGTAGCGTCCCTTCTCGGGTGGAAGGAAGCTCGAGATGGGTCTGCATTGGTCGAGAATAAGAGTATCGCGGTCCACCCATTGAACCCATTCAAGACGTTCCTTCTCTGGTTTCATCATCTCGCGAAAGAGAAGGTCCAAGATGTAGGCTGGCTTGTTCCACAGATCGTCGACAATAGGGTCGCACATGACCCTGACTTCTGTTCCATGGACCAAAGAGTGGAACAAATGTGTTTGAAACGCCATTTGATAATGTTCCTTGACTTCACCAAAATGCGCAGTAACAATTCCGATGCGTGATCTCGCACTGGCGAAGGGTGAATACTTTCGGCACTTTGCGCGCTTAACCGTTGCTGCTCGAATGAACTCAGGCGGTACCTCTGGCAGACATTTCGAGGCACCATGAGCGAAAAACTGCGGGACTGGTCGGGATGGTGGTCGTGGGTATGGAACCGAGAAACCTTCCGCTGATCCACGAAACCAAAGGATGAACGGAGATCCGACGATCAAAAGACATAACCAAACAAAAAATTTACTAGTAAGCATCGCAGGAGATATTTACATGATTGTAGTGTAAGAAAAAGCGAAAGACAGAAAACAAGCAAGATAGTGATTGCTGAGTTTACACCCGGTAAGGTCCTGATATCACGTTTATGTGACGGCAGCCAAATTATAAAGAAACGATACGAAAGCCACCTCCCACCGCACTCCGCAGACGACAAGCAATCGACGCTGACGAGTACTGCGACGTAGACTTCTTGGACTCATTTCAGCCTCCGCTTCCAGCTGAGCGTTCCCGTCTCCTTGTTATCGCAAAAGATAACGGCTCGGCCATACTTGCATTGGCACACACAACCCAAGGGCTTGAGTATGTTTGCGTGCAGTGTACAGACTCCGACTGCCAATCTGCGCCATGTTACCAATACTAGCTTCTCACATCTTGTGTCTAGCGTCCAGACTGGGCGTAAGCCTCCAGTCACCGTGTAGTGCTTGTCGGACTTTGCGCATCGGACTTTGATCATTGCGATATCGGGATCGAGCAGCCCATGACAGATGTTGTATTTTCATTCAGGTAAAGCAACGGTACCAGTTGATGCATGATCATGGTGGGTTCAAAGAGTCTCCTCTGGATTGAGACATTCAGGGCATCGTCGCAAAAGCTAGCGCTACTTACATCCGTAATAGACCGAGAGGTATGTTTGGATAGACCTCATCACCGCGTGTTAGCACACTTGGCTTACTGGACTATATGTCTCCAATCAAACTGAGCACATGCCAACGCCAAGGTTGTCATTGTTTGAAATGTCAAGTGTGAAGTTATTGGCAGCTGTAAGGATCAGGGCCATCAGTTTGCCCTCCCCCAACCCATTACCCTACTCATCCTGCAAGACATACCTTAGCGAACGCATCATGTCCGAACACCGCGCCACCTAAAAATACACCCATAAGATATGCCATTGCGCACATGGCTTTCGCTGCGGCGCCGAAAATCCCCACGTGTGCGCGGACTTGATGCAGTGGCGCGCACCTGCCCACGAGCCACGCTCGGCAAGCTGCGCAACATGCTACATACACGAAACATGACAATGCCCGCACTACGCCTCAGCCCCAACTATTAAACATAAAGTAAGACAGCTTACCCCTGCATTGCTCCAACAGGATACACCCAGCGACGCCAAAAATTGGAATTGTATATACAGGCATGATGTCCTGCGTCGTCGCTGAGATCATGCAAGAATGTAGAAAATAGATAAGGGAAAGGAAGGTAGGACCAATGAGGTAACGGAAATAGTGGAAACTATACTTTCCTTTGAGGAAAAGAAAATCCTGTTTCCGTCACTGCGTTAACCGCTTGGACAAGTGGATATACTAATCCATGTTACTAAGCTATCCACCACGACATATTAATATTTTCGTTACGAGCCATAGTAAAACCCGTGATCATTTTCCATTTTAGGATATATCAGTCTTACATTAGTACCTGATAATTTATCTCCTACAACAAGCTGATTAGTGTATAAGTGACACTCGGTGCGTTGGAGTAGCATTGTAGGGTAAAGGCTGGTAGATGGGTACCCCATATCCCTCACTACTCCGAGGTATTGTGGGGATATAGGAGTGCTCGAACGGGCGTTGGGCAAGGTGAAGTGAGACTGAATTCGATGAGGTAGAGTTGGGCTCATGTTGTACCAAATCTCTACCCACTTGCCAACATTCCATCTTTTGACGTTGTTAGTAGTACCATAGCAGCCTAGTAGTCGGCACGTGCCTATTTACATCAACGTCACTTCTTCTCACTCCAAACCGCAACCCTAGATGCCATCTCCATCCCCCTCAAGCCCACAATGACAACTCATGGCGATGATTCCAGCGTCACAGGCAGAGAAGGCACACGCACACGCAACCGCATCTACCGCATAAAACCCCACATCCTGCCCTTCACCGAACACAGCAACACCCAATCCTTACTCCTCTTCGAAGGCAGAGAATCATGTCCCCTCCCACCTCTCTACACCTTCTCCCTCTACTTCACCCACAAAGCCGCAAACACCACCACCATCCACCCACTCGACCTCTTCACCGCCATCAGACGCGGCACCCCCCTCCAACACTACCCCTGCCCCTTCCGTCTAGAATTCTCTTTCCTATCCACCCCCTCCTCCCCTACCTCCGATGAAACTTGTATCTCGCACTACCACGCCGAAAAACAACATCAAGGCGACTACACTGCCCAACTCGCATCCCGGACGCCTGGATCTAGCCCGACGGGCTTACCTGGTTTTGTACCGAGTTACATCGACAATCCCTCCTACGAATTCTACCACGGTCTCTTATTCATATACCAAGGTGCGGGTTGGCGGACAGAAAAGGAAGCGGTGCGGTGTGATTCTTTCGATCCTATTTCTCAGGACGAGTATGATGGGGTTGGGGAGGAAGGGGAGGAGGAAGTGCTAGAGGGGGTTGAAATTGTGATGGGGGCGGTGAAGGAGGGGGATGAAGGGGGTGCGGGGAGGGCGGGTACGAGGATGTTTGAACGGGCGATGAGGAGGGCGGAGAATGAGACGGGTGAGGTGTGGCAGGAGGGGGTGGACGACATAGTAGGGGGTTTTTGATTTAATTTTCAGGGTTGTCCAGTGAATTACTCGATTATTTGGTTGTTGACTAAAAACTTTTCGAATTGTTCGAGGTGCGGGAAGAGATATTTTGTCGTTTTTATCCCAATTGTCATCTTCAGCTTCATCGAGTTAGTCTTGAGTAGAGATCTCTTAGTGCTGGGTTAAGGAGTCTCTCAAGTAGTTGCCGTTTGTGAGGGAGCTGATGGGATAATTAATCCATCTCGTTGGTACGTATTATTGGTTTCTTTGCTATATTGCTTACAAATACAATTGGAAAAATAGCTTGTAATTGTGTGCACGACATAAGCTGCACTTTTCTTAGCTACATTATGGGCTTCGTTCCGCAGGTCCCGCGCAAATTGGCGAGGCATGATCCTCACACTATGTTCGAAATCGGACGTATTGAATTTATCGAAGTCTGAGCCGAAAAGCCTCTGAAGTTCTTTGTCTTAGAAGGAGAGCAAGTAAATCTCCCCTAGTTTCAGACGCATTGGCAATCAGGTAGACAGAAGATGTTTTGATGTTGGTATTTTTATCCTCCAGCTCTACATTCGATGTTGCCCCTGATTTTGCAAGCTTCAGTCTCCACTCAGAATTGATGTCGCAGAGAAAGGTTATTTTGCCAGCGCCTGGGTCGCCCTCGATTCGTAGTAGCTGGCGATGATGGCCATCATAATTTTATTGGAGGTCAGTTGATTTTTGGTAAATCGAGCGATAGGAATCCTCCTGCAGGCCAAAAACACCGTTTAGATTCAAATAGAACTTGGGTAACAGGGGATCCATTCGAGTAGCCAGATCGAATATCATGAAGCAGACATTCATAGCTCTTCTTTTCAAACATTCATGCAAGTACGTCCTGTTTCGATGATAATCATTCTCGTATTAGGCCGAAAAGCCACTATGCTACAACACCACTATCCTAACCAGATCGAGCATAACCACTACCTCCAAGCGTAGCTATACCACCGGTATCACAATTGACCCAATATAATATTCTGCACACTAAGGACGGGCCCTCCAGTTTCCTTGGCATACTGCAGTGCCACTGAAAGCCTTGCCGAACAATTCCCGGTGGGTAGGAAGCCACCACCAATCCATCATGTATCCCGGGACATACGCGCCGCACCGATCATCCATCATCTTCGACATACGGTCCAGGTGCGAGCGCTCAAAGTAAAAGTAGTTTCCAGCTCCACCAGAGTTTTCGCAGGCGTACACGTAAACTCCGTTCTCATTGTATCCGAAGTACGCAGGCCAATCGTTCAACTGTCCAACGCCGATGGGTGTGTGGCTCAATCGCTCTCGCATGAGGTTCATGGCCCTGTCGGTTCCGGCTCGGTTCAGGGTGCCTGCCCAGCAGCCGTACTCCTCTGCGCGCTTGGCACGGCTCGGAACACTAGGAGCGGGTGTAGGTGTAAAGGTGATGTTCTCATTCGTGTCGAGGAAGTGGAGTGTAGAAGTTCCATCCGGGTTGTTGTAGCCCCCAAAGAAACCGTTGGGGAGATCTGGGATCTGAGGCTGTTCTTGGGTGTCTGGAAGAGCCAGGATACTGGTTGCCGTAGCAAGTGCCAGGAGGATAGAAGAAAAGGATCGCATGGTGCTGGAGTTTGCGGGATTGCAAATGAGACTAGATGATGAAGTTGCTGGCTGTAGAGATGAGTGGATAGTCAAAGTGAGTGCGCAAGAAGCTCTTTTTATATACAGAGAGCATCTTTGAAGCCTGCAACAATTAGGAGTTCAGATGTCTACAGAGTACAAGGGTTAGTCGTGAGCCAATGCAGATGTGCATGGGTGCATCGTGGACTCGGCGCAGATGTGTATGGTGTTCTGGCCCGTATCCTTAATTTAGCTCTATACCGTAGTCTTGATGAAGAAGTTCAATCTACACCATGTCTGTGACTGTATCCTGCGCAAACATCAACCGTGAGGTTGTAAACATCCTCTGTGCCAACCAGGATACGTCCCCGGCTCTAGCACAGCTATTGTTTAGGCGTGCGATCTAGATGGCAATCTAAAGAGGTATAGATAGTGGCTATAATTAGCTCAGTGCTCGTTATCCTGGGGATTTATGAATTCAAACAACGCTGCCAGGCTGGGCAAACCATATTTGCAGACACGGCCCCCATATTGAATATTCCTTGAACCAGTGTGTATATATGAGTTCTACGAAGCCAAGGCTCAGAAGAAGGTATGCCACCGAATACCAAGGGTCTCGGTGTCGTGAATGAAAGGACTAGTGGGTGGCCTTCACGCAAATGCAGGTGGCCTACACGCAGATGTATGTGGCCTACACATGCAGGGACTTCATTTACACCACGAAAAAGTGGTAAAATAAGGCCTGCCCAAGTACCAGGCTCTCTCAGAACTGGTGCAGCTACTTGCTAGCGCGCCAATCACAGTCTGCCAATGCGAACGGGTATCCAACATGCTAGGTTAAATGCAGCTAGTTCCATGCACCCAGAGTCCGAGTGGACGAATCGCAAAAGGCCCGCTCTATATTAACAGGGTTGAATTAGTATGCACGAAGAGAATACGGGGCCTGAGGCCTTGGTACTCCTGTAGATAGAAGGTGCAAGGCCCTGTACTTCCCGTCGCAACTCCTTTTCCTCACCAAGCTGGTGAACAGATAAAGATACAGTAAAGGTAGGCTTAATAAGACCTTGTCTCTATCATAGTTCTATCCACAGGTAATGTGACCCTACCCTACCCCTAACCTCGGTCCATACGAACCCAGCCACACCCTTACTATACCTCGTGTTAGAGAGTGCTGGCTGAGGGTGATCACGAAAGAGGATATTCCACCATGAATTCGCACAAAGGTAAGAAGCTTACAAGCTTCAGGGGTGGGGTGTGTATTATTAGGGGTATTGGCGGCGATGGATAGCTAGGGGCCTGTGTATGACTAGCGGTGTGTTCGCTTGTTAGGAAGTAAACAAGATACCGTCCGTCTACACACATAAATTCTGCCATAGCCAGAAAGAACTTCCATCGATTATGACAGCGACGAGCACTTTGCGCTCAATGCCATGTAGGACAATCACGAAAAGCATCAAAGGCTTCGCATGTGTGCTTAATCGATGCAAAACATGCAAAGACATGGGAAATGAAGTTGTAACTTCTGTGTTTAGCTAGTGGGCAGTCCTTATCGCTAATTCCCAGTACATATCTCTGCATGCAGCTTTCTTGTAGGAGGCTACTTTTGAGTCTTTGGCAATATATTCTCGCTGCAGTGAATAACTGATTGAATTTCAGCCCAACGTGAATATGCAACAACTGCAGCCCTTACTAGGCTAGCTAGAACACGCCAAGCAAGTCCCGTCTTACTTGGCATCTTAGTTATTACGAATCTATGATGAGTTTATCATATTTGAGGTTCGATAGCTGTCCACTGAGTGCTCCCGGAGACGGTCCACCCATGTTGAGCCGCAAAAAACTGTACATTGATAAGATGTTCAACTTGGTCAGCCTGCCCAAATCAATCTCATCCAAAGCCGGTCCCTTCACTGCCTGGGAAGGTAACTAATGGTAACGTGTTTCACCACCGAGTGGGCCACCTCTCTACACTGTTACACCTTCATAATAGAATTGCGCAACACCACTATAATCTTTCTTATTAAGCAGAATAGAATACTATTCTTTAGATGCGTCGCTATTCTTTATATCCTCTAATTCTACTTAGCATATACGGGAATTATGTCTAACTTAGCTATAACATCTATAGTGCTATTTACTACGTACTCTCTTCGTAGGCGTTATACCCTTATTACAGCTATTACCCTCTACCTTAGCTATTTAATTAGCTATCTTACTAACTATCTAGAATCTACCTAGCTATACATAGCGCCTCTTATAAGTTTTTTACTTTATTACTTTACTAATTATAGTTTTAAAGCGATTAAGTTTCTCGTGTATAAGCACTATATTATAAGCTATCTGTTAAGCTCTCTTACTTAACTACTATATCTACTCCTTAAGAGAAGTTATAAAAGACCTTTACTAGATTTATATATAGTTTTAAATAAGTATAGCTTCTGCCTCTATTTTACACGCGTTACGCAGCGTTTTTAGCTCCTAAGTAGTAGTCTCTTACGCTAGTAGAGTTAGCGTACGTAGTACGACGTTAAGCTATAATAAAATAATATAATAATTATATAGGATAAGCCCAGTATCTTAAAACTTTCTATAGATATTATCTAGTATAATAGCCTTATACTATGTCACGATACTCTAGATAGTAGAGGCTAGATTCCTGCCAGATCCCAGGCTGTACAGATTGTCGATCGTTTGAAGGCTTGTTGGTGTACGCGATGCAGCCCATTTAGAAATTCGACTTTGTTACAATCAATACAGCCTTCCCGTGTCGCTATTTCGATAGCGTTTCGATGGAGCTGTTTGTACGATTGAAATACGGCGACTTCAAGAGGGTATATATTGTTCCAGAGTTGATTGCTGCGCAATTGTCCTGGTTATGCACGGTGGCATGGCCAATGAGAATGTTCGAACTCGCAACAACGTCAAAGCTGTCAGTGTTGTGGGCGGTCTGATTGGGAGGCAAACTGTCACTATCTGAATTGTGGATAATCATGTAACTAACTGTGAAACTTTCGCAGTCGTTGATGCTTACAGCTTGAATGGGGGTGTTCTCAAGGTAGAGATGGTTGCTTGATTACTTACCAGCGAGATTGTGGCCAGCCAAGGATTTTAGCTTGGCTGGGACGGTTTTACTGCTGACTTTCCCGTTCTAGTAAATCTTTCCTTGGCCGACGAGCATGGCGCTTGCTTCACCGGTGACGAGACTATCTTTGCCACTGATGCTGAGAAGAGGGCCACCAAATCCTTTTGAAACGCCCTAGGTCGAGACCCCCCGGAAATTAACAGAGATCCCATCGGCGGGTCTAGAGAGATTAAGGGTAACGTCAGGCGGAATAGTGACGGCGTGGATGGTGATGGAAGAACATTCTGATAACTGATTGATTACCGCGCTGGGGTCTATCTTGCCCGTGAAAAGACAGGGGCTTCCGCGTTCAGCAACCGTAAGATCAAAATGATATGCAAAAGTAAGCTCCGTATTAGATTCTGCGGTCACGATTGTTGTGAGAACAGAGCAAAGGAGACTGACGCTCAAAGCAGGCATCGTAATGTATTGGGGGCGTTCACTTTGCTAAAAATTTCGAAGCGATGTTCGAGTATCTGACAGTTGCGATGTTATTAGTGTCTTGATCTTCTACGACATTTATACTAAAGCAGAAAACGTGCGGCCAATATAAGGCGGACACGAACTCACCACTCATCTCTATAATACGATACCGACCGTAAAAAAAGGCCTTCAAGTATCCGAGTAGTTATGTATTCACGCCGGTTCCATTGAGAAAGATGCTTTGTCTAACTAGGAGTAAACTCTCGAAAGTGTTAGGGTATCCGTGAGGTCTTAGTGACGCGCAGATGTCAAGACATCGCGGGTTTCCGCTAAGGCCTTGATTGATAACTGGTCCCTCACGGGGAACGCTTGTGGCATTCTAAAGAAGGGTCGCTAGCTCAGTCTGAATCCACAGATCTGTAACAGAGGGCCCCCTTAGCTTGTGTTGAGTGATTACAAAGGACTTGAATGGTAGAAACTTAGCAACTATCAAGCATGAGGATTATTCTGCTCGGATGTGTGGTTTTGTTTCGAAACAAGATCGGCCTAGGACTCGCAATCCTGTCTATGTTTTCAGCCAGTTATGGGAGAGCTAGAGCCTTAGTAAGTAAGCTGCGCGATTTAAAGCATCCACATCTGCATCCGCATCCGCATCCACATTTGCATCCGCATCCGCATCCGCATCTGTATCCACATCTGCATCCGCATCACATCGGCCGCCCCCTTTGGACAAGGACCAGCCTTAGTTCGCTAAAGTCCAACGGCGCTTCCGTATTAAAGTGCCGCTACATTGATGTCATTTTGATACAGCAACATCTCAAGCAGAGTTCCCGTAATTTCATATATTTTTTTACATATCTCGGGAGTCCGGCTTCTTGTATAGCCAGACAGTTTCGCCATTATGGCTAGGATCACAATCGACGTCGTAATCGACATAGGATGTCCCTTTGTAAGTGTGGTGCAAATCACCGAACTATCACCTTTGGGAGCCTATATTAATTCCGAAAGCAGTGCTACGTAGCCTTAAAACGTATCACGAGAGCTATTCAGACGCACCAAGATAGATGCCCCAACGATTCGATCATAATCCAATGGCATCCGATGATTCTTCAACCAAACGCACCCAAGGTCTCCATAGATATTTCAACCTACATTGCCTCAGTGTTCGGACCAGAGGCGAAAGACGCAAAATTAGCACGCGAACAGGCGCTTGGTCGCGCCGAAGGCATTAATTTTAACAATCGCCGCAAGATCGGCAGCACATACGATGGTCACCGCTTGATACATCTTGCTGGCGAGAAATCCAGCACAATGCAGCTTGCTGTTGTGGAAAGGCTGTTCAAGGGTCATTTTGAGGACGGCCAAGACCCGTCATCCCGTGACTTTCTTATGAGCGTAGCCGTAGAATCAGGCATCGAGAGATCGGAAGCTAAGGCTTGGTTGAATTCACGCGCAGGTGGTCTTGAAGTTGACGAGAAGATTGCCAAGGCAACTATGAGAGGAGTCGAAGTTGTTCCCGACATCACTATTGCTGGACGCTATCGAATTGGAACTGGTTATGAAACGGATCGTTTAATTCATGTACTAGGAAAGGCTGGAGCAGAGGGAGTCTAAGATTACTGTTTCAAAAGATTGGAAATATTAGCTGGACTTGCTTAAACATAGGTAGTTGACTAGAGGATTCCCAGCAAATTCTCCAACCTCAAAACATTGCAAAGAGAAACATAATGAATTGAAGGACGATTGAATTGAGAAGGCGGTGATGTTACCAGCGGAAAGGTAGCGCATCTTGTCGAAGGCTGGCTATTACCCCGCACAAGATGTCCTATACTTAGGTCACCTATCATCGAAATTGAAGGTTGAAAACTTGAAAAACGTAGGAACAGCTGACGTTTGCGCTTTGTAAATGGATCTATGATCTTAATAAGCAATAATATGCTTCACACAGGTGTAGCAACACCAGATCTTAAATGGACCAGGCTGCAAGGTCAAATGTATGATTTGCAATGCAATATACAGCATAGATAGCATGCAATAAGAAAATGTCATGAGAAGACACTGCGGACACGGAAAAGAATGCTGATATTGCGCATTCTTGCTATGCACGATGAAACAAGATCATTCTCAGGCCTTGTGGAGAGACGGGGTTCGCCAAACTTTCCCCCCCCAAACACACCAAATCATTAGACACTATAACACTGGAGACTTTATGTGTTGACGGGGTAGCAACGTTCTAATAGGAATTTATTGTGGTAGAGTAGCTGTACAAGAGGCACAAATGCCATATTTGTCGACAGACGGCTCACTGAGACAATTTTTTCCACGAGTTCCTTGCAGAGACTCTGTCCCACCAAGCCTGCACATTGGGACGAGTTCCAACCAAATCACCCTCGTTGACCTCGAACAACTGCGACATCAACGGCATGTAAAAAATGTCTACCAAAGAGAAATTGGTGCCGCCCATGTAATCCTGCTTAGCAAGGATACCGTCGAATACGTCAAGCTTTTCGGCAAGAGTTTTTTTTGCATTCTCGAGAGCTACCTCGTCAACGGGCTGGCCAAACATGCTTCAAAAAGTTCAGTGATGCTTTCCATGGAGTTGCTTGTGTATACAAAACTTACGGGCGGATCTTCTTCTGGGTGAATATCTCCTGGGCGAACCGGTCGAAGTTGTTTTGCTCGACAGAAGCCCACTGTTCAAAGAGAGCCCATGCTTTCTCATCCTGGAAGGAAGGTACAAGAGGCGTGCCCTGGTTAGCAAACTTTATGGCCAAGAAACGGGAGATGGCGCGTGACTCTGTAAAGTCATTAGTTCCGTGACGAAAAAGAAGGAGCTCACAGCGAACTGACCAAACAGCACGAAGCCGTTGTCTTCGAGGATTGGAATCTGACCAAAAGGATGCTTCTTCCTGTGCTGCTCGGTCTGAATTTCGTCATTAGTTTATCCACAGCTAAGACCGGAATTTGTTTACCTTGTGCTCGCCAGCGGCAATGTTCGGAGCATGCAGCGTGAAATCTTCAACCCCTTTCTCAGCAAGGACAAGTAATGGGCGAAGTGTGCAGATTGAGTGCGCAATGCCAGTAAGGTTGAACGACATGATGAAGACTGAAAACGATATTGCTGCGTGCAAAAACTCTCTAGGATCTGCTTGTTCGAATAAGAGCGCTGCAGTTCGTGATTTAAGTAGACACGTCCAAGGTCCGTTCGTCCGCTGCGGGAGAATGCTTCGTAATCTGTGTGTCGCAGCTTTTGAATTGCTGACTGATCGACTTGATATACATCCGCATTCCCAGGTGCGGGAGAAACCTCTAGCTCAACCAGCAGGTCTTGGCAGGATGCTTTAGTTACGATAACCCTGCATTGGGATCTTCTGCTGACAAAAACAAGCCCGAGCCACTCTTTGATATGTCACTTGGTATAACTAGATATCCTGCGAAAGTTTTGTCCGAACTTCGGATTAGTCACACATATTCCTGGATGACCGCATTTTCAAGCGGTAGGTCTAGCGCTAGGTACTATGCTAAATCAGTTGTCTCGTTCCAGTTTGCTATATCGGCTACGGCTAATGGGTCCATCCCTGTGACTTTCTGGAGACAACCTAGTCTGTATTATACCATCACAAGCGATGAGCACTACTTGCTGAAGTGTCTTCACTCACTGATATATGTGCTCCTATTTCATTAGCTATTTAACAAGATAGAATGTGCAGGTACTGTCATTGCGATGTTTCAAGCACTTCTAGCTGGAAACTACATGGTAAGTCTAGGTGGTTCACCGCCCTGCCCTACATGCGTATGGATGTAGCGTGCATGGTACAGTACGCGGACGAGAAAAAAAGCCACTGAACATGATATCTTCTTCCAGCAACCATCTTAATTGAATCATCCTCAACTAATAGAGCTTCTCTCAATTACTGAACGAAAAACCATAGTTGCTAGATTTCAGAATTTTTGGGGCAAAGTCGCCGTAATTTTCGTCCAGTTCGCCCAGTTCGAGAATGTCACAAAAGAATTTACGCGCCTTGCTAGTCAGCATTGGCACATTGCTTAATAGTCCTTCTGCAAGCTGTAGCCAGTCTACGACTTGCGCGAACTTTGAACATATTGACTGGATTCCCCATATGTCAGCTTGTCGCTGCAGAACTTGCAAGGAACCCAGCTTGATTGCTTACCTCTCTTGTTTGTTCAAAAACCGTCACCTTTTGGTCAGTTTGTGAAGCGATTAGCGCACAAGTTGCAATACTCCAGATTCTTCTACAGCCGTCGAGAAGCCGGTGTACTTCGCATCCCTCTGATTTCAGCCGCTCTAAATATTGGACGAAGTCGTGAATGAGTTCGACATCGGTTTCAGCGTGGGCCGATGCTGGATATGCAAGGGTTTCCGACAGTAAAACGAGGATTGCGGAGAGTGGGAAGCACAGCGTTTGCCTTGTTAGGTGGTTAGATTCAAGAGATTGGTCACCAGACATGACTTATGGCAAACCTACCAGAGGTGTGTGAAGGGTTGGGGTTTCAAGCGGAGCAGCACATCAAGTGTTCCACGGGCTGCCATCGCGCACCTAGCTCTAGCCATCCTGCTGGTAGCAAAGATTTTGTTTGATATGGAAGACTGTACTTCTTGCATATCCGGATTCAATGTTGTCAGATCCAATAAGACCGCCGCTGTCATACTGATCTTGCTAATGCAACTGAGGTAAGTGTAGTGCAATATAGCGACAGACATCTCGAGGCGTGGAGTCCCGTACAATCTGGAACTAGGTTGGGTTTCTGTAGGCAAGAAACATTTCCATTCCTCAAGCTCTTGGTGGATCTTTGTGACAGCTTCTAGCAGATCAGTGCTCTCCTGCATGGACAGTCGCCTGGAGGAAACTCGTTCGAGCAGCTTGTGTATCCGCAACTGTGTAACGGCAAAAAATGCTTGTTGTCGAAGAATGCCGCCCCGATGTTGCCTTGCAAGGCGTGCCGTGTGATCACCAGGGCTGAAAACATGACAGTGCTCGACTTCGGGGAGTTCAATGACAATACTCTCTTCATCTAGCGGTGAGGGTATACCGTATCTGTGCGTCACATCAGCGTTCAAAATGTACACCGCCCAAAGAATCCGTTTGTGTCTTTCTGCTACTTCGGCATCGAGACCAACATAGTATTCCTGCTTTTGCAGACCAAGCATATGGGCCATGTGGGCTGCAGCCGCTGTCAGCTGTGCAGCGAGGCCGGCGTCGGCTGTGCGTAGCATGAACAAGGCCATGACCAGTAGTGCTTCGCAAGAGGATATCGCAGGTCCTCGAGCTACGAGCTCGGCGTACATCGCGAATGCGTTCTTAAAGAATGCCCATGCGATAGGTGAAATTGCGGTGAGAGATCTGTTATCTGTCCTGTGGAGCGTAGATATTCCAAGGAGTGAGCATACAGTCATCCATCGGCACGGGTGGCGGTCGCGGTCGTCCGGACCAGCAATGTAGTGCTCGTCAAGTTGATGCAGAAGGATTTCTTCTTCGAGGAAGACACCACGGAGCTGGATTTCTTCGATTACTGGCTGCAGTAAACACACAGTGCGGTGTTTAGAAGGAAGGCATGCGAAGACCTTTCTCTCAGAGCAGTCCAGATCTACCCGGGCCTGCATTTGGTTCATTGTCGCGTGAACGTCGGCGGCAAACGCTGCAAACGCTGCAAACTTCTTGGCGGCTGCAGGCAGTATTTGCGTGGTCTCGTCTGTGGCCCATGGACCTTGAGCCGGATCGTCCATGACAGTATATCTCAGAGTGGTCTGTTCTATGGAAAGGTTTGTCAGATATCGAGACTCTGTACTGTCACCCGCATACTCACCCTCGCCGGAGTCTTCAGCGGTCCTGCCACTGTGTACTTGGTTGTAGCTGCTTTGTATATCAATCTCGAAGAGTTGTGCTGCAGAGGCTAGTCCAGATGACAAATCATTGTGAACCCGCTGTTGCATAGAGTGCGCGCTGAGCTCTTTGCTGGAAAACATGAGTCCCTTATCTGCTTCTTCGGCGCTCCAGCGACGGCTTACTTCTTTCCAGGGCCCCGTTGTCGCCGCGCTGTGTATACGCAATGTCTACTGTGCTTTGCGCAGTGGTTACAACAAGGCTTTGCTCCATCACAGCGTCTTTTTCTTTGCTGACATTCATGGCAAGCCTGTTTGGTATCATTATCGGAGCTTGTGTCTCTTTCAGGAGCAAGTCGAAGAAAAGAGTGCTTACGTTGGTGATTCTTTTGCGATGGAGCATGTCTGCGAGAGTGTTGGCTTCTAGGGTTGCTTCGGCGCTGTATATCCTGCATTGAACATGCTAGAGAAACACCAAAGGATGGTTTCTGTGAACTCGTGTTGGTTACGGGGCGGACGCGATACGATCATGTGATTTCGGGTGTCTCCCCAGTGCGATTCGAACCTACCTTGATGAAGCGTCGATCAGAGAACACGCCCTGTCTGAGATCAATCGTATGAGGAAATTCTGAGGCTCGCACCGATGCTGGAGGCACGCTTGCGGCCGAATACGAGGCAGAATGATGCCACAGAAGGCTTGACCATAAACGGCATGGTATGCGGATGCATTTTGTATCCGCATAATTAGCAACCACCCAACCCAGCAAGCTGAACGCCCCACCCAACCTGACGCGACGCTCTTCATAACTACCACAATGCCGCGCCAACAACGCTCTGTATAGACTACCCATGAAGAGCGAATAAGTCTTGCTATAGCACTCTGTCGTAATAATTGAAGGCAGCCCATCTATACTCTCGCAAAAGTGTACAATCTGCCAAAATCATCACTATGTAAGCGCCTGTATAGTACCTAGCTATACTTGACTAGAAATAGCAGGAAAATACCCGCTATACTACCTCAGAATGTTCAACCCCCACTCTACCATGTTTATCCTACTACCAAGTCAGCTCTTCTCCTCTTGTATTGCCTACTAGGTTTAGTTGTAGAGCTATTATATTGTAATAGGTGAAGCGCGAGCGGAAGCGTGCGCATTCTGCGGCGGCGGCGCGGGGAGCGTTGTAGTCTCTCTCTTCTGGCGAGTCCCTGCGCACCATGGGGAACCCTGAGGAACAGCTGCTACTGCGCTGGCGGAAGCGACGGCGGCGGCGCAAGCTGCGGCGGCGGTGCGGTGGCTGTGTGTCGGCCGCGACATGCACCATGTCGCTGAGTGCGTCAACGAACCTGATCAGCGGCTGCGCGTCCATGGGCTGCGCGTACCACGTGATGCGTACTCAGGCCTGTAGCCGGCTGTGCCCGCCATTCACCCGCACGTTTTCCGCGTCCTGCAGCAGTTGTTCCAACGCGGCCGGGTTGTTCGAGTACCAGTATGGCAGCGTCCGCTTCACCGCATCTACTAACTTGCGCTGCTTGAAGCCCGCCACGGTGAGCATGGAGAACACGCCCACGCTGCGATTAAAGTTGAACAGGAAATGCCCGCCGTGTGACTGGTACCGACAAGGCAGCCAGGGCCATGGATTGGAAGTCAACACGCCGGATATAGGCGTCCGTGTGCGTTACTAACTTGAGCTCGCTGATATCGTATGCGAGCAGAGTGGCTGCGATCCACGGTCCGGTCGTGTTCTGAATCCGCTTTCTGCGCCATGCCGACCTGCTCATCGAGTTGCCTCTTTAGTCTGTCATGCCTCTGCTTGCTCGGTACACTGTCCAGGATGCTCGTCATGACCTGCGTGTCATTCGTATCGACTATCTCCAGCTGCTCAATCATGTGCACAGTTTCCATGTCGCAGCCCATGGCGTTCGCCCAGATGGTCCACTTCGCCGTGGGGAGAATGTCCTCCATTTGCTCTAGGTAGTAAAAGTTGAGTCCCATATAGGCATGCCGCTCCGATTCCCATCGTCTTTGGATAGCTTCCTGCGCCTCTTCACCCACTTGTACAACGCCGGCGTCCTCGTCCGTGTGCTCAGGCCCGGGCTCAGGATTTGTTGATGCACTGCTGCTGCGACTGCTTCTTGGATCTTCAGACTTGCCGCTTGTTGACCTTCTTCGACGAGTCCTTGCTCGTAATCTGCTGCGGAAGCGGGTCTGAGCCATGCTGAGATCAAGCACTTTGTTCACAAGCGGCAGGCACCCTGCAGCAAGCCAGAAGGGATATTCTAAGCTTATTGCATCTGGTGTCAGACTTCCTCTCAGCTGCTGATTGTACGGCGCCAGATAGAGGCAGTCTGGATGCCCGCTCTCGTCATGGGCCAGGCATCTCAGCGGCCCGATGCTGCCGTGCAGCACGTCACGCTCATCCTCGCCAACGTCTTGGTCATAGTCCAGTCGAGTGTTGCTCTTGTTCAAAATCACCTGCCATTTGTCCTCACGATCACTGTAGCGTCCAAGCAGCCCCAGAACCAGGACCCAGAGTTTATGCGTCGGGAGCCATGTCTGACGGTCTTCGATCACTAAGTGGCCGCTTCGATCCTTGGATCCTGGCAGAGAAAAGGCACGTAAGGCGGAGCAGAAAGCGATCCATCCTATCGTATTAGGAGCGTCTACGAGGCAGTCGTCTTTCCTCTGACCATTAAATTGCCCGGGAACTTGTGGAATGTCTGTCAATCTAGGCACGCGTGCTCGTCCAAGTATTCCCGTATCACGCCAAATCCATATTCCAGAGGAAACAAAGCGATGCAGTGGGTCGTCAATCGCCCGGTAGGCAATGTGTCGCTCCGAGCGGAGGGTACTTAGCCCACAGTAGAAATGGCGTAATGATGCCAAAGAGCGCGACGAGAGCGAGAACTGCAGCCAGCCATGTGTCGACTGCCGACGCAATATCGACATCTTCTGCCATTGTAGTAATTGCGGATTGTCAGGAGAAAAGCTGTTTTTATTCGCATGCGTGGGCGCCTCGTGTGGTTAAACTCTGCCATGACGTGCGATCCTGGGGGCCAAAAACAGCTGCGACGCATCACCATGCGATGTGGCTCCACGACCCCTCCACAACCCTTCCGACAACTATCTACAGCAGACAATCTCCTACTCGTCACATCTAAAAGCTTTCACACGGTGCGCCTTTGTTATCACTATTTCCACTGGCATGCGCCCAACCTTTTGAACAACGTCCCGATCTGTACCACGTCTCTAGTGCCAACGGAACAGCCAGCACTCTACACACATGTACACTAAGTCTCTGGTTGACTAGCTCTACACTCTTCTTGTTATCCATTATATCTTAATGGTGGATAAGACTATTTCTGTCATTGCGTAACTGAGATTTTCCAGGCTTTCGATGCTAATAAAGTATAACTAGTTACCTAACACCGACATAGATTTTACGCATGTTAAGGATAATACTGCTATAGTAGTAATAGCAGGCGAAGGTTAAATAATAGAATAGAGAAATAGTAGCGTTACTGTTTTTGAAAAAAGACAAGGAAGAGAGATTCTACCTATCAAATATACAGATAGGGCAAAAATTTACGTTTAGCTGAGGATTTATGTCAAGCTGCACAGGACGACGAGCGGAGCGAGGAGTCCGTGCGCACCTAGGGTGCCCCTAGTGCAGTAGGACGAGTAGTGCTTAAAGAGGGCTATGTAACGATGTTACAACTCTGCCCAGTACTAGACCCATCCCAGAGCCGGATCGGAAGAAGTATCCACCGCCCCCTTTAGTAGTTTATTATTCTTGGAGTAAGATCTAATTTAGATCTGACTAGGATATATATATATATTAAGATACTTCCCGTAGCTAGTTCTGTAAACTTTGAATATCCTTACGTACAAGGCCTATAGGCGGCTAGTTAAATCTAGGTCCTTTAAGATCCCACGCACTCCTATATGACTCTAAGTAACACTACTACCGATACTGATCCGAGTAGTCTTGCCTGCGCCGTTACAATCACGTGCTTTCACTCTTTACGGGCGCAGCCTATTACAAGGATAAGATTAGGGGTAGGTCCGTGCCTATTTGTAAGAAGCCAAAAATCGTGGTAGAAACGGTGCCCCTCACTGGATGAGTGTACAGTACCGTCTGGAGAAACACGGGGGGGTGCTCGTTTGTGCCAATAGGAATTTCGTTGAATACAATAGGCACAGTAGTAGTGACGGTCACCACTTCTATCAAGATGATTGAGAAATCGCACCTACTGAATGGACACACGATCCAAAGCGAAGAGTTAGCTATACTGATGTGTGTTTTTTCAAAGATGTGCAGTAAAGTGACAGGAGATTCTATTGAAATGTTCGCTTGGCAAGGAATGATTGGAGCCAGCGGAATAGTGGATTGTGGCGGCCGTGGAACTGTCAATGTTGATGGGGGCGTTTACCATACTCAGCAGCCTTGCCTCTCAAGTTGCCAAGCATAGTGATATGCTCTCATGCCCAACTAATATAAACCCTAGCTTCTTGCTCAACCTATTTATCCGTGCAGATAATGCAATAAACTTAAAGCAATAATCCATCTTGTCTAGTTTGGAGTCTATGTATCATGATAGGAGAGTCAAATCTATATGTATTGGCTTTGTGCAGGATTGGTAACCTTGGTATCAACACTTTTTAGCCCTGTTAGTGTGCTGCTGGTTTGCTACCGTTCCGGGTGTGGCGCTTAGTTCTGTAGGTATGTTTGCGAGTGCAACCGAGGCCTAGGTAAGTACGCGCGCTAGATAATGCTGTTGCTGCGAGGTCGTTAGCGACCTGAATAATTTCAACATTATGATCAATGGTAGCTTGTTGGTCTTTTTTGATCTCTCTTATTTCGTGCTCAAGGTCCTGAGATTTTTCATTCAATTACCAGATAACTTTAGTTAACGCGGTAAGTACTTTTTTGTTGGTGTTATTGCGCTTCCTAGTTCCAAAGGTGTTTTAACCGTTTTCGATCTAGATAGTGTCGGAGTTGTCAGCTGATAAATCTGGGTGTAGCAGTTACCTGTGGTAATGTTCATTTTGCTCGATGATGTTTCTTGCGCGTTTCTTCAGAGGTATTGCTAACCCGATTGCGAAGGATGTCATCTCTCTCACGACGCGTCCGGGTCGCAAAACCATCTGCATAACAGCCGTGTCTCGTTTTTCTTTCTTAGAAGTACTTGGAAGATTCCGCTAACTTCGCTTTGTTCCTTCAGCTTAATTACAATGCTGATTGAAATTCGTTTCTTAACAAATGCACGCTCACATGCGCTATCGGCTTCTGATACTAAGCTCCTGCCTGCGACTAATTGGCTGTCGGCAAAGCTTGGCAGCAGAGTATAGCTGTCGATATCATGGCTGGAACTATAAGTAAGTGCGTAGGACAAAACCAATCTATCAATCAATTACAACAAAGCGGCTTAATTCTTACGTCAGGTCTCTTTTGGCCTACGGTTGATTGGAGTTTTTTTCTAACCAGTGCTTCTCACTGGCGTAAGAGCGGTACATCCTTGTTCCTGTCGTACCTACAATACACCAATCGAGTGCGATCACAAGATCCTGGTGCCAGAAGAGCTGGCACCTGGGTTCAGTTCACACAGCCCACGCTTAGACGCGGCGCCAAGACACTACTGTTGAGTTACTCGCCCGAGCAACGCTAAGATCAAAGAGAGAGCATACATCTTCAATACGTACGTAGATGTAGGCTCTTTAACAGATAGCTTAGCTCCCCGTTACATCACTCCCACCTATAATCGCGGGATAGTACCTCTGCGCCCACATTACTACATACCTAGCGTTACTTGTAAAAAGACTTCGTTGTATCGCCTATAGTATTTGAAATGTTTAGTGCCCCTAATTGTACAGAGTAAGAAAGGGGGAGATAAATAGATTGCATTTGGTCCATGCGACAGTGCTAGCCCAGGTTTATGATATCAATGACATCATATCGGCCCTATCGAATAGTTAGTCCTGGCATAATGCCCCTGGCATACGACTCCGTTACATTCAGCATTTTCCTTCACATAGTACTCTCGTGATTCGAGCTACTCAAGCACATAACTAGCTCATTAACCATGTACTGTCTGATATGCTTTGTATAGATAGTTAAGAGGACGCAGATCATAATAGATCAATCCTCTTCACAAGTCAGTTCCATGATGCCAGTAAGAACTATACTATGTTAGGGAAAGTCTATAGTAACGGAACTTTTAGCCATGCTTGGCCAGCCTACTTCCTAATCACCTTTTACCTAGTGCTTACAGAAGTGAACGTGTACTATTCTCCACTTAAGCACCACTAGTATCCTTATAAAACACTGAATTGTAAAGCCAAATCTTATTCCTTACACACCAACCTCTGGAATCGCGACGCAACCTTTTCATATAATAAACAAAGTTTATCTACAACGCCTCCACCACTAAAAGTCGCTATGTTGAACTTGAAGACCGTTGTTACTCTCTTGGCGCTCGCCATCTCCGTCCCAGGAGTCCAAGCACAAGATGATGCCAGAGTAAGTTGCAAAGAGACCTAGTCTAACCTTTCTCCTTTGTTCCTGAGTTTAACTTTGGAAAACTAGTGCTCTGGTCAGAATGGCGATTGCACCCGTTACGATGACCGATGCCGCCGCAGCGTCGGCCGTGCCGCTTCCTGTCAGCTCAATACATTTGTCTCTCCAGCACAGTGGTTCTGTGGGTGCTAGGCTTGCCGTAGACCGTAGAGACCGCAGAAGTAATGACCTCAGCTGGGTCCAAGCAACATGCCACTGTAACGGCAACAACGACACGCCACCTTAAAAAGAGAGCGCAATAGCTATACACTAGAGAAAAATGAAGATATTGGATCACGTTGGCAATGCGCACGTTAATTGACCGCACCTATGTATGCGACCACTATAGGCTAACGCTAACCATCTTGTTGAGTGAAGAAGTTGTACAAGAGTGCTTTTTGAAAGCTTACTACTATAGTGGTGAAAACAGAATCCATCTACATATCCGCATTATATTGAGTTATACTATCCCTTCCATCACTTCGAGATGTCATTCCAGGGAATGTTTGTAATAGCGTGGCCATCCCTTCCGTGACGGAATAGTACATCACGTGACACACACACACCGTGATAAACATTGCCTTCTATCCTCAATTGGTATTCAACTCTTATGCTAAGATCTCTTGTATTTATAGGCAACATGCATTCCTATTTGTAATATACACTTACAGTCAACGTTGATCGATTGAACTGACCACTCTTGAACTGCGCTTCTTCTGTCCGTCCTTGTGTTTTTTCTCGACAACTAGACCAGCGCGTTTCGCTTCTCTCTTTTTCTTATGTGTATGGTACCTGTCATCAGCAGCCGTGTTGACTCCGTTCACCACCACTCCAGTTGCAACCTTGACCCCCGTTTCAGCTGCGCGTCCGAAAACCCCGTTTTCCATGCCCAGCTCCAGTACTTTCTCAGCGCCCAGAGTCCCCAAACCAAGCGTCGTCAGTCCCACAGCACCGTTGAATGCCGCCGATCCCACCATGTCTCGCTTACGATTCTTATGGTATTCTTGGTCAAGATGTCGTTTGAGAATTTGACGCTTCTTTCGAGCATTGTAAAAGCCTGCAGACCCAATGGCAACTCCAATTATGCTAATGCCCCCAGTAAACACCAGTGCTGATCCGCCAAGTGTAGCTGATGCGGCCGCGCCGCTGATGAGACGTGTATAGTGATTCCATTCAAGGTGTAGTTCTTCCGGTGCCATATGAGAGCACTTTTTATCATATGCATCGAAATCGAATGGCATTTTAGTTATCGGGGTAGTGCTGTATCCGTGAATATAGGGGAAGGTTTCGATATCGGTACATGAAGCTCATGTTTCTCATTTTTTTTCTTCTCGAACTTATGAAGTTGAATGTCTGAAGTGAGGGGCTGTGCTCTTCACCGCGAATCCCCACGTCAGTGTACGCGTAATATTTCAGATAAGCGAGCCCGCCACCCTATTAACTCTAAGCATCTCTAAACTTTAAGCATATCTGAAACTTTGACTAATTATAGTATGATCTACTCCATTCTGGTATACCGGTCCTCAGACCGATGTAGCTTCGGTCTTTCTAAGATGCACTCCGTGAGAAAATTTCAAGACCGATTGTGATCTTAACAACTACAGTATACCTATCTTCCGTAGCGCTAACCGATGGGACTTCAGCCTCTGATTCCTGCCTTTTGCTACTTTCTGGCTCTATCAAGCAGGTACGCAAGCAATCACTCCACATCATGTTGGGCGCCAAGCAGGTTACCCGTCCCATCTTGTCGAAAATACAAGCCCCCTAGTACGCGTTGCCCCAGATTAACGTCCTTATATGGTTATCTATCACATATTGGTAGTGCTAAGTGCTTGCGTTTTTGTGCCGGACGAACCATGTTTCGCGCAAGCCATAACCATACTTTCCGCTCATGACTTACCTTCGACACTATAAATAACAGTCTCCCCTCTGCTTCTCCTACTCATCCATATTTTTTGATAATTGCTGCATTGGATGGTACGGGCTATCTGAGCTGATTGAATACAGGACTTTGTCTCCGAAGTTAAAAATGGTCTCTTCAGAAGCTACGAGTCATTTTTGGTATCTATCCTCGTAGCCTGGCACTCCCTGCACAATTCGACTGCAACTCCAGTATTCCATACATGGTGAAGCTGGCACTACGTTCCCCTGGGACCTATTCACTCAATCTCAACCCGTGATATGTCTGGAAAACTCAACCAGGAGGAATATGACGTGCTTCACCAGCACAAACTCATGGAACGAATCGGCCCCTTCGAGCGCAAGATAAGCTCGAGCTATCTCTCACCATCCCTGGTTGCTTTGCCTAACCTGGTGTACCCCGCTTCCTCAGTAAGCGTCGAAGCACTCGAGTTCATTGGGCTGAACAGATATGCAGCACAACGTATCTTCGACAATCTCAAGTCGGCTCAGATTGATGATCAAGAGGATGAGGAAGCTGAACTGCCTTCTATCATTCGAGGGCATCTCACGCAACTAAATACCAAGTTTGAAAACCTGCCAATTGCGGATGCGTTCACCAATGTCAGACTTACAGAAGATACCATCGCCGCCATTCTCAATCCTGAATTTCGAGACGTTTTTGAGACGGAAACTCCTTTTTGTTGGGCTTTCGATATGCTGCGAATGAGGTTCAATGAGGTTCCACTTGTCTAAGAGAAAATCAAGAAATCTGCGGAAAGGGCACTCTTGGCGAAGAGACAGAAGAAGTCGCTCAACGTGGAAGATGTTTTGGGTGGCAACGAGGCTCATCCTTCTCAGTCATTTGGCTCTCAGACCAATGCATCATCCGGTATGACCCGCAGTGGCATAAGAGCTGGTGGTCCCAGTCTGCCAACCACTTGCACCTTTATCGAATCAGTCCCCATGCCACCTGAGAACCATCTTGTTCTCTACATAGGCAGATGTCCAGCCAAGTTTCGATTTCCCGAGGATGATTTTGTAGAGGAAGATGGCAGTATCAATATGGCTACTACCGGGACTTACCCTGCTGGGGATTTCAACGCTAGCAGTCGTGTCTGGTATTTCACAACGGAGTACGAAACAGCAGATATCTATCGTCGCTACGCCGCGACTCGATGCCCAAACGAGGTGACATGGATCGTTCTTATTGCAATTCCACAGCAATTGGACGCCACGTTGCGCACTGAAGAGTTGTGGTGGTTATGTGAATTCCGAGAATTCGTGTGGTACAGCCGGAAGGGAAAGACAACTTTTCCCGAAAGACTTCGACATTACGATTCCAGCGATGTTATGAAGGGCAATATCTTGAAATACCAAAGTGTAGCTAGGTGTGTTCAAGACAACATACACAGCAGCATTACCGAAGACAACCTGTACAAACTGAACTCCGGCCGGAAGTCGACTCAATGGGTTGCGAGGAACGATGAGACTGCGAGAAAGATTGCGCAGTGGGCTCGCGGTAACCTGCATATCGAAACTTTCGCACCTGTGATTCATCAGGAAGGTTGTTGTGCTTCGTCTTGCCCTACAGGCTGATGGGTGTACAGGCGGGATGTAGGACTGATTGTTTGGATCTTCCAAAGATCCGGAACACTGTGTTCATAGCATCTGAGCTAAGCTCTATCTGGTAGGCGGTGGCACATTGGGAAGGACTTCTCTGATATCTGAGGACTGCTCTTTCAACAATGCGTCGGCCACGTATGGGGCGAACAAGAGAACTCGCTCTCTTGTCTGACTGCTACTAAAACATGTTCCTTGGGGCCCAAAATTCATTGAAAAAGACTCGATACGGGAGCGACTGCAGCCTACATGACATGACATGACAGTCTCCGTTGTGATCGAGGAGCTGTTAGCGCACGTTGCAGCCTTGCGCTGTGTAGTATAGACCAGGTTCATTGTTACACGACAACGGCTATCAACATCCATGACGAATCACGCTTACCTGCATACGCAATTCTCTGAGATTGGTAGCGCCATTTGATTGATCGACGCCAATGCCGAGACAGGGTCTGATCTCCACTTATAACCTCCGTCCGTCCGCTTCCGCAAACTAGAAGAAAACACCAACGTCTTCCCTCACGTCGCTTATACTTGTCATCTCCATTTTCTGTCCGATGTTGTCCCAGCGATCCAATCTTCACGAGGACCGGTCCATATTGTATATAAAAGATGTATCGGCAACTGGAACGCCTGCAGCGCGTAAAATGAATGGACTCGAGCAAACTTGTAACGCGGATCGGATGACGACGACGTTTGTGGCAATCTATTTCAAGAGTTAGTATTTGGGAAACTGCAGACTTTGAGAACAACACACTTGGATGGATTCTGGTAAAATTTGACAGGATCTGCTGAGCTATATGGCCGTCCGAATTGGCATGGTTTGCGTTCGCGTAATGAGTCTCGGCTCTGCGTTGGCGCTCGAGGGAGGTGTGATGGCGACACCCACATGAGGGAAGTGGCTATGGTCGGAGCTGGCAATCGGCCGTGAAATGAAGTTCAAGCCTTGCTGCTGTGCTACAGCGGAAGCTGCTCCGAGGGCCTGTTGCTGTGCTTGTATTTGCGGTTGCGGTCGGCCCTGCGAGCCTACGGCTTGTTCGTGAGCGCCATGCGCGACGATAGGCCAAGCGCTCGTATGGGGTATTGATCTTGGGTTTTGCGACTGGTTGGGAACAACTGGCTGGAACTGGACAGGTGTATATGGGCCAAGACCAACCTGGTATGGTGCTACCTGATAGTGGTAGTGCACGTTATAGATTTGAGTCGTTGGCACTGGAAGATAGTGGGAACTGGGAGTGCTTTGAGCATGTAACGTACGTCCTTGGGTATTGCTCCTTGTGTTCTCACTCAGCCTGCTAGACTGGGTGCGTTGCTCATGAGCACTTCTCTGCATTCCGCTTGTGTCCCTCATGTTATTCGGGCGCATCCGATTTCTGTTATTTGGATCGAGGTATCTGCGGAAAAATACCCTACGCTTCTCACTGCGCGTGGGCCCAGACGATGAGCCCTGGTTCGCCCTCGATGTGGGCCGAGATGCGATAGCGGTTGGCGGAAGAGATTGGTCGCTCGTTCGGTCGTCAACGACAGCTTATCAGTAATCTTAGCGACTTGAGGAGACATTTTGGTTAGGGACTACCTGTACAAGCTTCATTAACCGACTGAAAGTCATCCTCCGTCACGCCTGCGCTCAACGACATCAACATAGCTTTTCGTGACATCCTGCCACCGAAGTTCGCGTATCGAATAGCCCAGCACAATACCCGAAAATGCGAGAAAGAGTTATAGGATCGAAGTCTGTTCTGATTTCAGAAGGTTCTGGCAGATGTTTACAGTGGGCGAAATGTACTGAGGGAGGACTAACCACAGCCTGGTCGAGCTTCTTGGAAGGGCGCTGATGAGTTGCCATAGGTTGCATCGCAGCCGCCAGGCAATTCAGCTAGCTCCGACCCCGCGGTCAACGCCACAGACCATGAAGCTCATCAGGCAACACGCGCATGCAGTCAAAATCACTAAAAGCTCGAGCGTGATTGCTTCACGTCGTAGAAAGGGGTTTGAAACCACTGGATTCTGTATCTATCGACAACGTATATGGTGCAAAGAGTTTGGGTTGTTCTCAGCTCTGTCTCCACTGTGCCCGCATGGACTGGGAGTGGCGAAGTGTGGGGAAGATCGGGAACAGCGAGGTGCGTTGTGGCTATTTCTGTCACACCTCGGATTCGCGCCCTTCTAGAACAATTATGGGGAGTTCTCTTGATTGATGGACAAGTATCCAACTAAGACCAATGTTGACCATGCTCGGCAAAACAACAGCTAGCCTTTCCACAGGCGTCACATGAAGGCCGTTCCAAACTGTCTCCAAAAAGACTAGGAGAATACACGCTGTTAACATAATCGACACGGACCTTGGGGCTGTGTGGTATACGTGCATGCAAGAAGCAGCATAGAGTGCCGAGCAGAGAGCGATGCCAGTGAAGAGTACCGAGTCGGGTATGTCTTTTACTCGCTGAGTAACAAACTTCCGGCAACATCAGCATTATTAGAAGCCACTGAATGAGGAGGGGAAGTGGACTTACGCTTTGCCATGTCCTGAGACGATCGTTCCCGCTTGATTGAGGTTGCAATGCGAGAATCGAAGTGCTTGTCGCAGCGCTCGATACCCACATTGCCGTCCCCGTAGCGAATCCCAACAGCCGAGGCCGCCTGTGGACAGAGTATCGCCGATTGGTATCGGGTTTCAAAATGCGCTTCTCCATGACGCCGAAGTCGAGCTACTATTGTCAGTACCACCTCTCGAGCTACTCTCATTACTGCTGCGCATCCACCTACATAAGGAACGTATATTGCAAACGTACCCCGAATCTCAGATATGTGTTGCCTTTAAGTAACTTATCACTAAACACAAACGGGACTAGGTTGAGGCTGTGCAAAGCCCTGTTGAGAAGCATCAGGATGTGGGCTTGAGGCGTGAGCCTGGAGCGTGGGCTCGGAGGCCTAAGTATGCTAGTAGGTACCGTCATCTCTTAGCTCCCACTCGACAACGTCTGGCTCGAGGTCCGCAGCTTGCTTCCCTCTCTCTACACCGCACCCCATAGCTTTCGCCTTGGACAACTATTGCTTCCTCCTTGCAGTCCTCAACTTGGCTGTGGGCTCGCACTGAGCTCACAACCTTTCTCCTCATTGCATCGACCTCATTCATCGGCATCGCCCGTTGTTAGCTCATCTCGTCCCACCCAAACATTACCGCAAACACTCCACATCTACAACCCGGCCCCTTCCCCCCTTCCCAAAACAAGTTCATCATGGAGCCTGGCACACCCCGCAATATCAGGCTTGCTGTGTTCTTCTTCATGGTCTCGATTGGTCTCTGGAACTTCTTCCTCAATGTTGCGGCTCGATACAAAGAACACCCCTTCGACCAAATCAACGGCTTCCCTCTCTGGGCTTTGAACATTATGTATGTATACTGCGAGGTTCTCAGCCCGTCCTGAATTCTCAACTGACCAACACAAGCACAAGCACAGTGTACGTTGCTTGCACGGTCGTCTACATCAGCATGACATGGCACTATGCTAAAGAACATCCATAGTAAGCCGTCCACCCAATGCTATAGGTACTAAACCATGAACCATGTCTGACCTTGGGTGCAGCTGGTCGGTGTTCTCCCTCGTCCTTGCACTTCTCATGACAGGGTCCATGATCTGGGCAGGTCTTGACCTGTTCGACTGGTTCGTGTGGGGCCCGCTGGTCGTAGATCTAGCCATCATCGTCCGCGCCGGCATCGAAGAAGTGGCCAACAGCGTCGAGTCCGGATTGCTGCGCAAAACCTGGAATGGCTTTTGGGGGTATGAAACTCTACTCCCCCAGCCTCCGCCGCAGCAGCAATCTCGCGTCGACGCAAATGGCCATGAACCCGACCCTGAAGCGGCTCACGAGCTCGTAACTATGGTGGGCCAACCCAGCAACAACGGTTAGATCATTCATCGTCTCTAACGGTCGCCGCGCAACGTCCAACATCCCCATCTTCCGACTACACGCATGCTCTCTTACTTCTCGACTCTCGCGATGTTGCACGTTATACCAACTCTACGACCGCCGCGCATACATTGCACCGCATTCATGATACCCCAAGACGACTACGATATGATACCCATTAAAAATATAAAGACCAGATTTGCATAGCCCATCCCGGAGGCGTTCCGGGACCAGCGGTTCATCGCTGCTATTGTTATCTTGCATTAGGTAACCCAGCGCTTCAGCGTTCTCATTCCTTTCTCGAGTGTCGATCCACCCAACACTACGACGCTCTTCTTGCGGCCATGTTGTTGTGCCGTCTGGCACTCTTGTGCCTGCTCTAATTATGTGGTAGTGTACCACCCAGCGCTTCTGCGTTTCATTATGCGGCTGTTGCATATAGCCACTAGAGTTCTTAGCCCATTAAAGGATAGATATTCTGGATAGAGTGTCTGTCCGTTACTGTTGGTTCTTGAATACAAAGACTCGAACTCTAGACCTCCTTCTTTCCCCACTGTGTGTAACAGTTGTCACTCGCCGTTTGAATTGTATTGTCTGGGGGCGGAACGCTGGTCTCTCATCACCAGGTCCTGAAGTAGTGATTTCGCCATGTAAACACCTTTCTAACGGACAGCGTAAAATCTTGCTGCAAGTATGCCGCGTATATCCATGGCCAATCTTCAATGTATTATTCCCAACACCAACGTCAATGCCTCGCACGAGATGACTCTCCAATGCCTGAATATAGGAACCAAGGATAGTGGCTTCAACCAATCGACACTTGCAGAGTTTCGAGATTATCTGCCTAGATAGTTATCAGCCAAAGAACCCAACAAAGCATAGGCAGACGCAGAACCGCTTACCAAATCCTCCATGACATCCTCCTCATACTGGTCCAACGACGGGAACGTAGAAGCACGCCGTATGCGCAGCGGAATCGGACAAACCCAAGCTTCATCAGGAAGTGATTCCAAATAAGCCTTGGAGGGATCCGATGGCAGTAAATCCGCTGGATCGAAGTTGGTATCACCTCTATTGCCCAAGTCTGACATGCCAGCTGGGTCGAAGACTCCAGCTCTGCCGTCATTACCAACATCCATGATAGGAGGATATGGGCTGCGCCTGTCCTGTAAACCAGTGTAGTCGCCTGCTCCATCGCCTGCTCCCAGCGATGGAGTGCCCCCAGCAAAAAATTGTGCGCCGAAATTGTTGAGATCATGGTTGACCGCATGAGATGGCCGAGGCTCTGGTGGTTTGCTAGCTAGATTGTACGGCCCCATCGATGGCCCGTATTCCATATACGACTCGGTAGACACAGTCGTAGTTATGGTGCTTGCTGTCGCTACAAACACACCGCCCATCATGTATCCCGTGCTTGAACGTATCTGCACGAGCTGAGTTGTTCCTCCCATTGGCAGATGGTGGTAAAAGTTGTACTGAACTATCGGCGTTAGCGTACCGGGGTTTTGGTAATCTCGTTCGTTCTTGTAGTTTCGTGACGCTGTCTGATTATGGGAGGGCGCGCCCCTTCTACGACGAGCATGACCAGATCCTCGTGCCTGACTTCTTTGGCCTTGCCGCAGGCTTCTTGAGGGACGCATGGCACCTGATATCTTGATACAGCAGCTTGTACAATCAAGAACAACGAAGCCCTGTCTGCGTCTCGGTAGGCGGTAATACTAAGTGCTATGTACCGGAAGTCTGTCAGTCGCTTCTGTGCATATGTGTGGAGGGTGAATTGGTGCGTGGTAATGTCCGTGATCATTAACTTACTGTGAATATTGCGCGTATCGCTCCAAATTGTACCTCGTCGCTGTCGCCCAAAGGTTCTGAAAGATACAAATGCGTGTTTGAGGAGCAAGACGGATTGGGCTTAAGCAATTGCGGAGCTCTACATCCCGACCGCCCGGATGACGATGGGATGGTCGGGGCACGGGCCGCACCCGCGGTGGGATCCTCCCCACCCCCCATATTTGCACACTAGTGACTTGTTTCACTGCGCAAGCTTACTGGGCGAATTATCTTCATCCCCACACAGTAAATCATGAGCAATCTTATTCCTTACCAAGATATCAATATTGCCCGCTTCAAGTATCAGCCCTTTTGGATCCCTCATCAAAATTAAAACAGGAGATAATCTGCGAAAATAATATTCGTTTGCAGGTGCAAAAGAACGCCTTGTCACCAACCAAACATCGCTAATCGACCCACGCCCTGATCGCTCGAATAGTTTCAATTGACAGAAGAAGAATTGTGTATTGAAACTGGCTATGCCTTGTCGCCAACTATCTGTACATTCCGGGACTTTGGAGTTCTTTGACGGTTCAACGCCAAGGTAACACCGATATTAATAGCTAACGGCATCACGACTGCGAGCCTTTCCATGAAGCTCACATGGAGCCCATTCCACAAGCCTTCGACAAAGACTGCAGCGATGCAAGTTGCGGTCGTGACTGTGATAAAACTTGGATCTCGCTGATACGCTATCATACATGCCGTCACATACCCAACGCTACACAAGGCTATGCTTCCAGCCAAGACAGCGCTGGACAACCGCTGTACTGGACCAGCCACAAGCTGTTTCGTTAAGCAAATTGTATGAAATTAATTATTCAGGAGACATACATCTTGCCAGTATCTTAACAGGGTATTGTGGCTTTGTTCTTGCATCGCCAACCCGATGGTGCTAAGCCCAGTACCGCATAGCCAGATACTTGCGCCGCAACTCAAAGCGACCAAGCGACCAGTAAGGGGATTCGTAATCTTCTGGTCTCTCTCTCGCGCAACGAGGCCATCGGAAGTTTTGTTGACGTGTTTCTCCATAGGCACATATCTAAACGGATTCAGCTTCTCCAGGCACAGCATGTAGCGTACGTAGTCCTTCACTTACAGTACATGAATTTGGGCTTCAGGTATCAAAGAGATATCGTCCAGTATTTCGAGTTTCCACTTACATCTGTTTCAGGGCAGTCAACTACTTATATCTTTGTTGTTCACCGGGCTATGCAATTCCTCGTGACTGATGATGTTTTCAGCTCCAGGCAGACCCCGCACAGCCACGAAGTCACGTTACTAAGTATTTGTAAAGCAGTACAAAAGGAAGATCGCAACACTTCGCGGAATCGTTCGTTGGAAATCAATAAAACATTACCGTTCTTCATATCGATTAAAAGAAGCTCTTTCTTTAAGGCTTAACACATGATAAATCCTTTAGGCATTGTGATCTCTTCGTGATGGACCTTGGCGCTATGCGCCAGCCACCGTGTAATCGATTCTCTTAGTGCCGAAGCTAAGTGATTTTCTAGTACTAAATATCTATTCTCCTACTTTCAGCACACAATTACTCTATTATTATGGTCATTCTTTACGATTTGAAGTGCATCTAAAGGTAGTGACTTGATTTCCAACTACAGAATATCACGTGAGGCCCTAACCCTGCATCTCTTGAATCCAAGACAAAACCCGTTCATAACCTATATCCCCCTTGCTCCTGAATCTGACCATATTAATGTGATCAGCAGGAATGGATCCCCTCCGAATGTCAAAGCCATCATAGGATGCTGATGCCTCTGACACAATCTGTTCAAGAATTTTAGCAAAGAACAACTATCGTCGATTACAGGGGTCTTACCATGCCAATAGGCGTTGGAATTTTCTCTCTTACACACACGATAGAGAGTCTCTCAGAGATAGTAACAAATTCTTCACGTTGCCTTTCTAGAGTGTGAGAATCCACTTGAAGCGACTGAAGCAGCTGTGTATTCGGCTGGTGAAGAAAAGCAATCCTGACAAGCACTTGCCCTAAGGCCACCGTTCCGCTTCCGCGGTGTGGTGTTCTAGGGAAAATTACTCCTCGAGTGTTGGCATAGGTAGCGGCAAGTTTGGGGTGGCGTTGGTGCTTATCGTATACGGCAGTTATTATCAAAGCCTCCTTGCAAACCAAGCCTCCCAAACTATGGCAGACAAAGATGATCGGCCGCGTCTAAAATGCGTGTTCAGTATTGTGAGCGGTCAAAGTGGATATCAGGGAGGTCGTACGATCGAGCGGCGAATTCTGTACAAATTATGAAGCAGCCTCTCATCATGACCGCGTATGCCCTCCCTGCTTGCATAGCTGAAACCATTGGCTACATTTGCATCGTACCCCCAGGTGATGATTCTCGCGTTCTCCAAGTCCTCTGATAAGAAGTCCTTTGGCCAAAAGTACTCTCCAGCCGACCAAGTCTGAACACGAGAACCTCGAAGGCTAAGGAAAATAGTCGAAGCCGCATTGCATGCTTTTCGGTGAATGCAAGTCGGGAAAACGCACAGGACATGAGCGAGCAGGCATTCGAAGAGACCAGTTTACTGAGCAAGCCTGCGTGCTGTAAAGCATTTTGGATGCAGGGCACTATCGCATACGTAAGTGCATGGCCTCCTGTGCTATCAGTGAGCGTCGCAGACCCATGCGACAACACCTGCCATCATTCTCAAAAATCCTGCTGGGGAAAAGCCTGGAGAGCGCTTTAAATCAGACTGTTTCATGATGGCCCGCCGTAATGATCAGACTGCCGGCAAAATACATGCTCCGCGATTCCCGTCTCGAAGTCTACTTTTCTCTGCCCTCAATCTTCAATCCAACCTCTGCTACTGCTGCAACGGCACCTCAAAGCACCAGCCTGAGGTGTCCCTCCCCTTGGCTCTGTCAGCAGCTATGGGAATGCAGCTATCATCATCGTCTTTGGGTTTGGACGCGTGAGCTTGCACTGCAGCATAACAATATCAATAATCCACGCACCCGGCTCCAGGTCCATCTCATGGCCTGCCACTACAACTCAGTATCGTAGGGACTCACGGGAAAGTTCGTATCGAAATTTTTGGGATGTACATGTGCAATTCGTTCATGAATCCATCCGAAGCTTTTTTGTTACAGATTAAGGCCTACTTTGACATCTCAGCCTCGGCCAGGAATCTACCTAGAAAGACATATCGACTTATCTTTTTGGACTGAGTTATGACTATATTCTAGAAGATTATCTCAATCGCCTCTTTCACGCAAGAAATGCAAATGCCATTTGGTATCTCGGTATCTCAGAAAGCAGCCTACCGAATACGGAATGTCTCCACTCTCTGTTTCCCTCTTGCCGAAAGTACCTCCATCACTGCTTCACCAAGCATAACGTGGTTATTTTGCACATATGTCTCCCCCAGGAACAGCGATTCACGAGCAAGCTGTCGGAGCAAAAAAGGGTATTTCCCACCAAAGAGAACAACTACAACATCACCAGGTCTCGTGACCATTGGACCCAGACCCAGCATTCCAGATCGAGTGCGATATAACCTCCGGTTGAATGAGTACATAACGCAGCATTTCTCAAAACGAGACCGCCCCTGCTCATGGTTTGCGCCCTGGGAATCACGTACGAGGTCCGCATAGGCCTGCGGATCAAAGCCAGACTCGCCCTCTAGCCACTGGTACGTGTCACATTTCGCTTGCTTCGTGAAGTGGTCCACTACTTCGGATCTTGTCGTCGGAGCGCCTTCGAACCCGACTTCGAGCGTATTCAACACACCACCTGCGAGCAGCGTCATGAAGAAAGCAACATCCAAGGCCTCAGTCCCAAACTCGTATTGGGTATTGGGCCTTGGGAAAATGGGCATTGGGAATAATTGGTCCCACACGGTCTGTGGTGATATTGTTCCACTAGCGCTTTGTGTGATAGTCTCGGAAACAGTATCGACAACGTCGACTCGGAAGCCGTCAGCTTGCAAAATATTTGGTTCTTTGATTGACCCTTGCACCAACGGGTTGTCTTGCAAATGCGCAAAATAACGATAATGCCCTTTCGGCGGCACCCCGGCCATGTAGACATCCAAGACAAACGAAGAAGCGTTACGAGGCTCGTAGAACTTGGGAACCCAAGTTGGAAACTCATCTTGCCCTGTAGGGTCAGAGTGATGCTGTACGTGGGAGAGAGCATCTAAAATCCGAGGACTCCTGCGAATGCAATATCTCGTAAAGTCGCGGTAGACATCGCACACGCTCTTGTCATAGTCTGGCCTCAATGCCCAATGTCGGAGGAACTTTCCATCAGGTCGTCGCTGGCCCTCCACGTTTTTTGCCAGCCAAATCAAGCCCCTCTGCATCAGTGCCAATCCGCGATTTCTTTTATTCCCTGCAAAAGTATTCAGGCTCCCTAAGATAGGTTCCAGTCCCTCATCAGTGCAGCCCAACAGCGCATAAATCCGATCTCTTGGATTCGTGGCCTTGAAGTTTCGAACCGACATGAGGACTCGCAACATTGGACCGAGCGAACCAGTCGGTGTCAGTGGATTCGTTTGATCGTGGTCTTGTCCCTTGATGATTGCCATAGCTTGCCACAAACTTAGGCCTGATACGTTCGGAGTGAGATCTCGATAAAGAAGGAGGTATGGTACGACAATGAGGAGCATATGAAACTCAATCTCGAGGTCTTCGCATTTCGCAATAGAGTCTTTTGCCGCTGCGACTTCCTGGATGCACCAGACGCGCTCGAAGTACTCTTTTGTAAGTAGCGCATCCAATGCTCTGGAATCTTCCGGGTAGTCTTTCATGGCGTTTATGATAAGGTCTTGTCGATGCAAACGTACTGTCTGGACCTGTTGTGGTGACTGGGAGTTCTGTGGAATGGCCGCTTCCAGGGCTGCGGCAGTCGTGGTAATTTTCTGAGCGAATTCGAACGCACGGCGGACCGTTGCATCTTTTTGGCCAAGCCAGACGATTACCCGCGACGCATTGTTATACACAGATCGCATATAGGATACCTGGCGGGATCGCTCGGCGTTGTCGTCCTGTCGGATACAAATGGCATCGATCCAGAGAATTCTGCGCTGGTGCGGATGTCGTAAGGCTCGTAATGCTTGATCCAGGTTCTTGGTGAGTTCCAGCTGCCCCTTTATATTTCCTTGGTTGTCTGCACAAAGCAGAACATTATTGCTTTTCTCCTTCCCCCAGACATAGGACAATGCCTCAAAAGGAACATGAGGATGTTCTATATCCACGTTTTGAAGGGTGCATAAAAATGGGTCGGAGCCCTCGCCAGGCCAGAGTTCGAGCAGTCGAGAATACGCAGTTAGATTCCTGTTTGGATCTTGTGGAGGCAATGGCTCATAGATGAGGCTCTCCATGGAGGGCGTGGTCTTCTCTTCACTAACATCTACATACCATCGACACAGGAGAGAGTTTAGGAAATCAGGCAGCAGTCAAGTTTCCCAGGTGAGGCTGAAGCGGGGCATATTGAAGGGTCCGCCAATCGTTTGCCTTTTTGCCGGTGTCACGTGGTCGACCAGCTCCGGAATAGTCTAAGTAAGATTCCTTACCCATGAACCAAACTACACAAGGTGGAGGGAGAGTTTTGGAAATTTTTATAATTCAATTCTTTATCGATTCACCCACTCCTTCATATCTTCAAACCATTCTATACCATCTGCTTCATTAATACCCGGCAACTTGCTCGTCACCGGGAATTGTTACACTATTTATTATTTATCCGCGAAAACCAACTCTTTATCCCTCAACCCTTGACGTGGGTCAATACCCGTTGATATCTTATCACTGAAACTCTTATACTCTAGTACCATATATCAAGATAACGCAGTGTCGCGTCTACGCCTGTGTATAGGCGCAAACACCTTCATGTCGGCAGAAGGCTGAACGTTCTCGAAGTTGAAACTAGTGCTCTACGTGCAACATCTAACACTGCATGATGTGCAATGACCTCCAGTACATTGCTATTCAGACATTAGTACTCTAGAGACAATATAGCATAGTAAACAACATACACAACTTCCACCATGGCAGTAGCGTGTGTGGATATAGCCTCTGTGCTGGCAAACATCGTAACCAAAACTAGATTGAAACCAAGAGCAGGTCCCAGCGTTGTTGTTGCAGCCCGCACCGGCACCGTTCTGCCTAATGTTAATCTTGGTCTTCTGCAGCGCAGCACGAACATATTCTTACATTCCGATATGATGAAGGTGACGTTGACGAGTTGCAGGTTTCCTCCCAGACACATTCCGCAGAAATCTTAGTAGCTAGGAGTAAAATGCTTACAAAGTAGACGAGATACATTGCTAAATGGGGGTTAAATGATCCGATGTGTGGTATAAGACTAATATACTCCTGATCTTGTTTGTTAGGCTGCTGAAGGGCTAGATGGGGTTTTATATAGTTATATATACACAAGAGGTGAGGGTACCTAGTAAGACCTAAATCACGCAAACCCCTATAAGCTTGCATACTCCATAACACGTCCGGTGTACTCCCGTAGTTAGCAGGAGTTCGAGGGCAGTAGAAAGGCACAGACAAGAAGACGAACAGTGCCGCTAGTCTTCAGACTAGCTCGTCGAATGTCCTCTGAGTGCTTTTAGCAGCAGTGAAATGATGTTGCAGTCTATACAAGGTTGTGGAAGCAATGACACTAGCTAAGCTAGAACAACGAGCTACTATAACAGTAATAAGGATACACTGTCTTAACAAGAAAAAGCGATAAGTATATAACACAGATAGATGAAGATGGTAGATATCAGTCACATTTATAATGGACTAAACGCCCTTGGGAAAACTTTTCTATGGAGTGTCGGTCAAGCTATAGACGCTAGGCCTTACCTCGTAACCCAGCATCTGTGCGATGCCTGAGCGGCGCTCAGATAACGTGCTTGGCATTCGGCGTAAAATCTCTTCCAAAAGCAAATCAATGTCATGCAAGAAGACTCTACAGTTCTCTATTCACGAACTATTGTGTACCTAGCGTTTAATCCACCGAGCGCAGCCCCTTACAAAGATACAAATCGATTCATCACACCTACGCGTCTGACAAATGGTTATAGAGGAATGTCATTTCGTAGAGAAGAAACAACTATCAGATCATCAAGGATAGTAGATTAATAGTATGTAAAGAGGAGGATTTGATTGATATAATCTCCTAGTAGTGCGCCCGCGCGCCTCTTAAGAGTAGTATAACTATTACACTTTGCGCTAGTCAATGAGGCTAAAAGCAAACGTGATTCGGTTTATTATCCATCCTTATGTAGTAGGTTAGCCGAAGTGTCCCACAGACTTGTGCAGATACATAGTGGGTATTGAGATAAGAATAGGACCTGAATGGCTGAAATTATTACGTAGTAGCTTGATAGTGCGGGCGCTTGTTTAGTAGTAGTAGCTGCTTTCCCGCGACTAATAGATATTTAGCGTATAGAGATACAGCAACAAGTAGGTGCACTAGGTTAGATCCTGTGATACGTCAAGTTGTGGCGAGCTGAGGCTGCCGACTCTCATTGTATTCTGGATCAAGTGGTGAAGCCTGTGTGAAGCGCTAGGCGGGGTAAGGCGTGCTAAGCATGCATAAGCCGTGCAATTCTCATAAGGCTGAAGCACGTCTGAATCAAGAGCTACAAAGATGCAGTCCTTGCGCTATTAGCAAGGGTCTAAGTGCTGACGCGCTTTAGGCTTACTTGCTGTGTATGGCAAAACACGAATGAGAAATTCCCCCTGGACAATACTTAAATTAGAAGTTGAATTTGATCCCCTTTTCTATCTGACCTGCAGAACGCTACAAGGCTCTATAAGCCGCAGAACCTGCATGTTAGCCTGCTTGCATACCGAGCACCTCCTCCCTCCCAATGTCCACTGATGCATCGGCTCCGCCGCTTCATATTTGCCCTTTTACCCTAGAGCAGTGCGGCTGGCATCGTGCACGGTAAGTAATGAGCGTAACTGGTATATATGGGGCGTGATTGGTGTAACCCCCAACAAAAGTCAGCATACATTTTCTTAGTGCTAATCAAATGCTACTCTTCCAAAAGTTCAAGCAGACCTGGCCTCTGATCTACTATTGTTAACTGCTCTGTCATTCAGCCATGTCGCCAGCAGATAGTAAAAAAATAGAACAAGCCAAACCAGGAAGACGGCAGCCACACTTGCTACCACAGCAACCAGCGATGTTATTGTAAAGCCGTATGAAGCACTCTGAAACGGTTTGTTGCCCTGCAGTGTTGTTGTCGCAAGTCCGACCTGCAGTGCCGACAAGACCACAGAGAGTATAGCAAACACAGCTAGCATCCACTTGAAATGGCGATCAAAGAAAGCTTGATACCACTTCGATCGGTTTTGATATCCTCCGATAAGGTTACGAAGCGAATACGTAGGCGGAACAAGCCTGTATATGGAGTTGAGTCGGCTTAGCCGTAGCTCTCCGTATTTGTATCGTTGATCAACGTCGCTCAAAGTCTCGCAATTGATGTTGTTAAGAAAGGCATCTATAAATTCAACCCAGTCAGGCCATCCTACCTCTTTCGACAGCAGCCCCGTTTCTTTTGCGATATCAAGGTCACTCTTGTGCCGTACGAGCCATGCATAGGACAACAGCAAGCCGCACGCAGCTTTATGCAACTCTCGATCTAAGCATAGGTAGTTGTTCCACGATTGCCAGTCCAGGAGGAAATCGGGTAATGGCTTAACGAAGATCTGGTCCTCAAACCACACGAGATGCTCGTTGGGGTCCTCGGTGATGAGAATGGTGCGCCCTAGCAGCTTTTGCCGGTGCAATGGTCGTGCAGCTGTGGGGCGACCTGCGAGCCATAGGTGGCGGTGAATGCTGTTCAGTCTCGGTGTTTTCAGCTCAAGGGCTAGAGCACTAAATTGCTCTTCATTCGATCGTGATGCTTCAATCTTGCGGAAAGTTGTCACAAAATGTATCACTCCTGAAGCCGAAGCAACCTTTGTTAAGGGTTTGGTCTCAGATATCGGTGGCTTAAGCTCTTGAGGCTCTGAATTCCTAGAGCAAATATTAGCACTGGCTGATTGTATTGCTAAAGACCATACTTGCTTTGCATTCTGATTGTTCATTGTGGAAAGTTTCGTCACAATTTCACCAAATAATACAGTATTTAAAATATATGATAGTTGACACAGATGCCTTGGATGGAGGTCTGTTGATGAAGCACTGGCGTTGTTGTATAATCAGTAGATCGAACTTAGAAAAGAAGACGGACGTGGGTACAGGGTACTTTTGTCTTCGAAGTAAGGAAGTTTTAGGTATGTAAGATGTTAAGGTAGAAGGAACAGGAAGCGCTTGCGGTGTGGGCAGTCAGCAGTGATAAGTACTCTGCGCTAGGTATCGTTAAGCGGGCGGGCTGAAGCAGCCTTAACCCAGCAGCCTTAACCCCGCAGTTCAGATCAGCCCCTCAATCTTCAGCTGATGATACTTCAGCTCATGATGCTTCAGCTGAAGATGCTTCCGCTCATGATGCGGCGCACCTCGCATTTACATGCTTCTTGCGCGCCCGCTGAAGACTCTGGCGGATGCTGAATCTGACTGCACCTCTCAACGTACCTCGGACACCTCGGGGCACGCCTTGACATACCTGAACCCAAATGGCCAGGACAAAGGGTCCCGTCTTCCGTGTCACGGGCTTGCCAGGCTCGCAGCCTGACGATGAGCTGGCTACGTCGCTGAAAGCTGCCATCGACGAAAACTTGGCCGAAGAAGAGCAAACGAAGCTGGCTGCCAGCGTAGCTATCGTCCCTTCCTGCTACCTCCATGATGAGAAGGTCGCGCTGGTGGAATTTCCTGGCGGGGCGCCCGCCTTCCTGTCCGGACTGATTGACAACCCACTAGGGGACTGGCAGTTGGAAATGGGCGATACGGATATCAGCTTTGACCAGCATTTCTTCGGTTTCACACAGCTATACAGGCCAAAAGTAGATTCGTCAGTTACTGCTGAGTACGCACCCTCCCCCACTGCATCAGACTCGCTCTGACCATCCGCGCAGTGTCATTGCCATAACCGGCCTCGACGGCCACGCATACGGGTCATGGAGGGGAAAAGGGAACCTTGGGCGGATGTGGTTGCGTGACTTTCTGTCCAAGGACTTGCCGCGCTGTCGCACGATGATCTACGGGTACAATTCCAAGCTGTCGAGCCATGGAACCGACACAATCATGGATTATGGGCGGGGGCTGATGGAAGAACTGAAGAAAATCCGGGACACCGAAGATGTGAGCAGGAATAAAGGGAGTAATGGCGTCTTGAGCTGACACCGTTAATCTTCTAGCTACAGAAGCGGCCACTGTTTTTCATTGCACACAGTTTTGGTGGCGTCATTCTTGCTCACGTAGGTAATCAGGTCTAGCACGTCTATACGTACAGCTAAGGGCGTAGTGTCTCGTGAAGGCCGTCCAAACTGACGAAAACGACCACCCAACAATAACATCTCTGCACAAAGCTACCTACGGCATGCTTTTATTCGGGATTCCGCACAAGGGGCTATTAGTGGATGATATTCAGAGGATGCTGGCTGGGCAGGGCGACCACCCGCGAAATATGCTACTTCAGCAGATCAAATCCAACTCTGACTTACTAGCGAATCAGCTGGTGGATTTCAGGAATCTCATCCGGGACAGAAAAGTTGTGAGCTTTTACGAGACTGGACAGACTAGGTGCCTTGAGTTTGTATGATCTTCTCGTAAAGATAATGCTATGAAGTACTGATAGCTTTGCGGTAGGATGACAAGAGTAAACGGTGGAAAAGGACTGGTGACTTTGTCACGGCGGTGGATGCCGATTCGGCTCTTCTTCAGCTTCCGGAGAACATGGAGGAAAAGATTCCTCTGAATACTGATCATTCAATGATTGTCAAGTTTGATAACAGGGGCGCCCTGGGGTACATGAGTGCACGGGACAAACTTAAACAATTTGAACAGGATGCTCCGGGTGTAGTTACAAATCGCTTCTGTACGTAGTCGTCTACTCAATTCTACCCCGTGCTAAGTTCGCCCTCAAGCCTGGTTGAAGCTAACATTCCTGGGTTTTAGTACGAGCACATAACAGGCCCAAGCCGTTTATCATGGTCCCATTCCAGAGAGATCTCTCGTTTGTGGGTCGCGAGGACATCCTGGCTGAGATACGTCACAAGTTTGATCAAGAAGCGCCACAGAATCATGCACGAATGGCTGTCGTCGGCCTAGGAGGTGTAGGGTAAGCATGTCTGTGCGTTATCCAGTGTGAATTCAGTTTAATGTTTACCTAGGAAGTCCCAGATTGCCATCGAGTATGCGTACAGAGTAAAAAAATCTTCCCCGTACACCTGGGTGTTTTGGGTACATGCGAGCAACGCCACCAGATTTGAGCAAGCCTATAGAGATATTGCTACCAGGGTTGAGATTCCCGGCTACAATGACCCAAAGGCTGATATCCTCCAACTGGTGTATCACTGGCTTAGTGATGAGAGAAACGGCCGATGGCTTATGATTGTCGATAACGCTGACGACGACCGGGTGTTCTTCTCTCCTAGGGCTGGCTCAGATCACTTCGCGCACTCAGAAGACTCCCATCGCGGAGCAATAGGTTTGGCGAGGTTTCTGGCCCAAGTTTCAAATGGACGGATCCTAGTCACTTCAAGAGACCTTCTTGCAGCAGTGAACATTGTGGGTACGCAACGTAATGTCATCCGGGTTGAGCCCATGGCCGAAGGGGACGCGCTGGCGTTGCTGAGGACTAGGGTTTCATTCGATGAGCCGTCCGAAGGCGATGCAAGAGAACTTGTGCGGGCTCTAGAAGGCATCCCGCTGGCTGTTGCTCACGCAGCAGCGTATATTGCAGTGAGCGAGACGGGGATGACCATCTCGAGGTACCTCAAGCTATTCCGCGAAAGCGAGCAGAACCAAGCATACCTCTTGAATAACCAGGAGACCAGAGATCTAAGAAGGGACGACAGTATATCAGACGCTGTTATCACGACCTGGCAGATATCGTTTGAGCAGATCAAAGGGACAAAGCCAGCGGCTGCAGAGCTGCTTTCTCTCATGACCATGTTTGACCGGCAAGGGATTCCTGAGCATCTGCTGCATGATGGTAGAAGTATATTGGAGTTCCACGACGCAGTATTGCCCTTAACACGATTCTCTCTAGTTAGGACCCAGGCCACGAAGTTGCCAGCGCACCAGCCGGAGGAGCAGCTGTATGAGATGCACAGCTTAGTGCAGCTATCGACGAAAAAGTGGCTAGAGGCAAATAGCCAAATGGCCAGATGGCAGAAGATGTCACTTAGAATCATGGCTGCTGCTTTCCCGAGCGGGCAGCACGAGACATGGGCGGCTTGTCGAGTTCTCATTCCTCACGCGAGAAAGGTACTCGGCTACGTCAACGGAGAGAATGAAGCAACGCTGAATCGAGCGGCGATTGCAAACAATACAGCATGGTACCTACTCCATATGGGCGAGTATGCGGCAGCGGAAGAAACCATTCGAAGTGCAATAAAAGCCAGAGAGACGATACTTGGACTAGAGGACCGGGACACTCTGGAAGCAGTCGACAGACTCGGAGTAGTCTTGGAAAAACAATCTCGATATCATCTAGCGGCTGAAATGAATCGGCGAGCAATTGACGGTAGGAAAAGGTTACTAGGAGACCGAGATCCTCTCACCCTGGAGAGCTTGAGCAATCTAGCCGTCACATTGGATGGTCAGGCGAAATACTCAGAGGCCGAGAAACTAAACCGTATGATTCTGCAGGCGCGGGTGAATATATATGGAACAGAAGCAACATGCACCATTGAGAGTATGAATAATCTCGCGTCCAACTTGAGACACCAGTCCAACTATGCGGAGGCTGTAGAGCTGTTTACCCGGGTACTCAACTACAGAGAGAAAACTATGGGAAAAGAACATCCAGGCACGATGGAGAGCCTCAGTAACTTAGCGCTAACGTTGGAGGGTCAAGGCCTGTACGACGCCGCGGTAGAGCAAAGCCAGGAAGCGCTCAAGAGGAGGACAGATGTACTGGGGAAAACGCATCCGGATACATTGACAAACATGAGTAACTTGGCTTTGCTTTTGCTCAAGCAAGGCAACATTGAAAAGGCCGAGAAACTGAGTCAAGAGGCACTGCATGCAATTGAGGCCCGTCTAGGTCCGTCAAATATGGATACTCTGACGGTGATTGCCACACTCGCTGGAGTATCAAAAATGCGCGAAAACTATGAAAAGGCGGAGGAACTCTACCGTAGATCACTCACTGGATTCGAGCAACAGCTTCCACCGCATCATCCCCATATATTACGCACTCTGATAAACTTAGCAAGTGTGCTGCGGAGACGGAAACAAAATGAGGAGGCGGAAAACCTATTTCGTAGGGCACTGGATGGCCTGAAAGAGCGGAATGAGGTCTATCATCGCGATGCGCTAATCTGCTTGACCAATTTGGCTATAGTTCTCGAAAATCAGGGAAAGCTGACTGAGGCGGAAAACGCTAACAGAGAAGCGCTGCAAGGCTTTGAAAAAACAATGTGTGAGAATCATCCTGATACTATACAGTGTCTCGAGAATCTTGCAGGTCTGTTGCAGGCACAGGACAAGTATGAGGATGCAGAAGTGGTGGGCCAGAAAGCTATGAATGGATGCAAGGCCAAATTCGGACCGAGACACTCAAAAACTCTCCGGAATATCGCAAATCTGGCCCATATACTACATCGCCAAAACCGACATCGCGAGGCCTGGGAGATGTATCAAACAGCATGCACTGGATTCAAAGAGGCAGGTATAGACAGCAAGGTCTCGCGGGTTTGTTTTCAACGGTTTGCGGAAATTCAGAAAGAGATGAAGCCCAGTGAGGCGTCTTTTATGTTGGAGAGAGAAACCACAACGCTAAAAGGGGCTGAAGACAACAAATCACGCCAGGAGATAGTATCTCAAGCGGAAGAGACTGCTGCATCATATTCTGGGTCTAAGCGTCGAAGACAGACATTAGAGAATGACGTTGCTGAGGATGGAGATACAGTCAAGAAGCGGCTTCAGTTGGTTACATAGTCTGGTACTTCAAACGAGAGGACCTGAACAGAACCGTACCTATCGGTGAATGTTTTTCTTTCTTGCATTCATATAACAGTATGTTAGGATCGATTGGTCAAGCAGCATTAAAGGCGTTATACTCACGCGTTAGGCATCTGAGTCTAATAGTCTTTCAGTCAGCTCAGTCTAAAGTAGACGATAATCACTTACTGTGCACAGTTCAGTTGAGTGGAATTCTTTTTAGACTCATGAACACAGCATACCCGCAGAAATTATTTCACTTGAAACACCAAAGAGAGCCTTTTTCGGCATAACAAGGAAGACGCCAGATCCAGGCGGCTCTCGATTTCTTGGCAACAGATGAGGAATTGGCATCGCTGTCACCGGTCACGTGACGTTTTGAATAAATAGCACCGCTCTTCTACATCATGTTGAGGGTATTAAAGAATCATAGAATTGATAATGAGTTCGTTTCAGATGATGTCCAAATAAATAATTTCCGCGATCACAAGTAGTGGATGTGTCCCTAAGGTCCTTGGGACCTACTGCTGCGGCTGAACCGTTGCCGGACCAACCGTCGCTTGGGGAACATACGGACCTCCTTTGGGTGCTTTTTTTGAATGAGAATATGTACAAAGCAAAGATACGTATCCTAACAGCACATTTTTGGACTAAAACTGATCACGCAATACTCCCCTACGTCTCGTAATCAATACCAAGTCAAGCGTTACCGTCTTGGCCGCCTGAAGACACTGTCATTGAATCCGACACACACTATGGTTCGGCCGAACATTGTCATTGCATTAATTCTCATACTTCTTGTCGTATGCTTTTCTGCCATCGCATTATGTATTAGCAAAGCACTTGCATCCCGAGCAGCGATTTACGATGGATACGCCAGCAGCGAAGAGTCTGGACAGCATATACATTTTTCACGGCCCTCCAAACCTCATGCAGTCGTTGTTCATCATGGTGAAACGGACGTGTCTGCTGACAGCCGGGATGAGAGCTGACCTACGGGCCCATCTCTTGTATGGATTGTGGCTCGTCCAACTGATCGCGTCTCTGTATCAATACTACGACACAATCAAAAGCTCTGGACGGGAATAGCGAAGCACCCTAGTCGAATGCATAAGGGAGTGATTAAAATAAAGCAATGAGAATTCCAAATCCCGCCGGGATATAGCAGCCCACTCGACCCCAATATGGAATGAAAATAGTATGTCGGCCACAATATCCACAATCATTTGACAAAAACTAACTTCTTGAGTTTCTATACAATGCGAAAGACTATCAGCGGTAGATATATTGTCGAACACTAGCTGTATCGACTAATAGAGAATTTAGGGAGCTATTCTGGTGGCATTGGAATATTCTGCAGTCCACTTAGATCCAATCTCCAACGATGCGATGGTCATGACTGTGCGCGCATCCTAAACTTCTCGGCCAGCGTCCTGCGTGTAAGTTGCACGTCTCAGGAGCAAATGCTCGTATACGTGTTAAAGCAATAATCCATTTTTCAGCAAAGTTGTGCTGGTAATTAGGAAACTATCATGTGCACTTATTCTATCCGACTCATTCCAGTCAATCGTCATTGTATGAACCTGGTAGATGCTCCTTCGTCACAAGCTACAATACAACGAAAGAATTTCCAAGACCTAGGAAGCAAGCATGTTGAAAAGTATCAGGTAAAAGAAACCCGATTGTAAAAGATTATCAGGATGTAAAGGAATTCACGAAAGGTCAGTACTACCTGCTGATTGGTCGTTCCTCCAAAGTTACCAGCGTAATACCGTGGTACGAATCCTGGGTGATTAGTTCATAAGCTCCACCATCCTCTTGTACAGTTATACTTACCGATGTGTCGTTTTCAGGGCTCTCAAAATTTGGAAAATATGAATCTATCTGGGTGGTGAGTCATCCTAAAAGTATATCACAAGTAAACGTTAAGAGCTAGGACTAACCACCGAAATCCATCGTCCCACCTACGTTCACACTTAGTTATTGATTTTAACTTAGCTGGCTTAGAAAGAAGAGATGTTCTTCCCTTGTATCACGCCAGCATATACTCAAGAGTGCTTACCAAAGAGGAGCCCGTGCCTTTCATTAAAGCAGATTGCTCCTGAATCGAACATACATGTGTTCTCTTGCAAACCATTCTGTTGCAGGATAACTCCAGTAGCATCTTGTTCTGACGTAAAGATTCGCTCATCGTTATTGAATTCCAAGTCGGGCAGTGATGGCTCCACTTTCAATATATAGCGGATGGCTTCCTCAAGAGCCTCTTCGAGCGTCTCCATGTTGTGTTGTAAGACTCTTTTGAAAATCTGACTCGATGCGAGCTTCTTCATGCCACCCAAGATGTCCTTCATAAGCTGTTCAACTGTCGAGCCTTCCATGCCACGTAGCGCTTCATGGTAGACACTGCGGATTTGGGCCCATTCCTTCGCATCCTTGTCATTCTCACATTCTTTCTTGACCTTGTCAAAGACTCTCAGCAGCTCCTGAGCCTGATTGTGGCTAGACTGAAGGATTGCTACAACATTGTTTCTTTCATCTTCAATGATCTCGTGGTCATCATACAATGTGTCTTGAGCAATCCATAGAGTGCGGAGAACGAGAGGAAGGTGGTATTGAACCACGTCAAACGCTTCAGGTAGCCCTTTGATCGGCCTGATAGTCCTGTAAGTTGCGCTGACACCGCCGATAATGTCGATAATGGATTCTGTTATACTAAGAGGATTCATGATGATGACCTGAGGGTTCTCACATGAATACCATTTGTATGTGTAATTAAGGTGAAGATGAGGAAGGTAGAAGAAAGACTATAAAAGGAGCGTAGTAGTATATGTGAGGCATGCAAGTGGGGTTTACCTCAGCTGAGATTGCCAAGCGGGGCTTGGGTACAGTAGAGGCTAGCGTTTGCACTTCAAGCCTTATGTACGCCATTTATGCCAGCTGCGTGGGTATCAGCTGGAGCTGCTGGCTCTTCGCTATATTTTTAGCTTGGTGATAGGGCCAAGACCGATCATCGAAGGGATGGCAGGACCTAAGGCAATAGACATAAGGATGGATTGGTTCCATTATTACACTCGCTGTGGTCAACGCTTAGAAGTTCTTCTAGATGATATGCCGAACACGTAGAACTATAGAAATCAGGCATAGTATGCTTAGATAGCGTTGGTGGTTTGGCGCAGAAGCATCGACGTTGGATATATTCAAACAATAGATATATATCGCTCTCTGCTCTACTTGGTTGAGCTGCGCAGAAAAAGCAAAAATGATTGAAAGCTCTCCAGCCGGAAATTAAACCCTCAACCACTTGTTCTTGTGCAGGGAAAGAATCTTTCTTGTTGTTCGTAATACCACACCACGCTAAACAGGATCAAGGTAAGCAATTTCGCACTATAATGTGGTGGTCTTGGCAAGTGGTAGGCAAAAACGATCGGACAACCCATATGGGGTACGTTACCAATCGCTCTGAGGAGCAGACGATATCTACAGTTCTACACCACTGCAGAGCTGCGATCGGCTACCACTAATAAGTACCGACGACGCGCACCTCCTATTCCCGAGCTATTGAAGCTTACAAGAGTTGTCTTTAGCACTTAACACTTTGATGAGGAAAAGCAATTAAAAGGTCATATCCTCAACATCTCATCAATCATGCTACGCACAAACACCTTAACAATCACACTGCCTTTAAAAACTAATAATACGGATTCAACATTTCGACACCGAGCCTAATATAATGATTATTTCCCCCTTTCATTTTTACTAAATATTTATATCGCGTATTACACCTCTGTCACATACATGATGCTCATTAAAACTAATTTTATCTCTCTTCGAAGGTCAAGCAACTATACAATATGAAGTTTTTCGCCATTGCCAGCACTCTTATGGTCTCTTTAGCCAATGCTGCTCCACACTCTAAGCTTGACTTCACAAAGGGCACTGAACTTATAGCTCGGCAATGCTCTGCAGTAAGGAATCTATACTTTATCCGTAACAAATGAAGATAAACTTACGCTTTCCCATAGGGCAAGGCCACCTGTTTTTATGACACTGACTGCTGTTCTCAAATCTGCCAGGCTATACCTGTTGTAAGCTTTACTTTATAATACATTTATTATCTAATCTCGAAACAACTAACATGTATAATAGGGTCCCGTTGGCGTGAGTACAGCACATTGTAAGACATGTAATGTTAATCAAAACTTACATACGTTGTAGGTTGTACGCTACGTGAGTAAATAGACAGCTTAAATCATACAACGACTGGAGCCTAACTGTAGCAGTGCGCTGATGAAATGAAACAAGAGAAGGAGGAGCAGGAGAAGCAGGAGAAGCAGGAGAAGCAGGAGAATCAAGAGAAACAAGAGAAACAAGAGAAACTGGAGAAGCAGGAGAAGTTGGAGAAGCTGGAGAGGCTGGAGAGGCTGGAGGAGAAGAAGAAGCACGAGAAGCACGAGAAGGAGAAGCACGAGAAACTAGAGAAACTGGAGAAGCTAGAGAGGTTAGAGAAGCAGGAAAAGCAGGAAAAGGAGAAGCAAGAAAAACTGGAGAAGTTGGAGAAGCTGGAGAAGCTGGAGAGAGAGAAGCAAGAGAAACTAGAGAAGCAAGAGAAACTAGAGAAGCAAGA